CTAACGTTTCTTTATTCTGTTTCTCCGAAAAGGGCTTTGCGATTGGTATTTTTTTATAGAAGACCGTTCAGCGTATGCTTACATATATATATGAAACTCTCCTCTGGGTTATCTTCTACACCTTCTAGAATACAACGCTCATAAATATCAATTGTTAGTTCTTTGTTCACGAGAGATTTCTTAAGGCCCTTAGATTTTTGTATATTCTTGGTCGCATTTTCTGTTTCAATAGCATATGATTTGGATCGATTACCGGCATACCTTGTTATTCGTGTCCCTGCATTTTCATCCTTCCACTTACCAATTACCTTCTTATTTTTTAGCTCTCGTGTACCGTCTGGTTTGGTTATCCATTGGTCATGTGGTAATTTTTTAAGTAATGGATGATCTTCCGGCCGATTTATGTAGGAGCAACAATTTTGGATCTTAGTAAGTATTACATGTACGATTTCTGGTACAATCACATCAAGCGAAAGTATGAAAACCGAGCAAGATTATGTTATACCGATACAGATTCGTTCATTATTGAGATAGAAACGGAAAATGTGTATGATGATATGGTCGAAGAAGCGGATTTGTATGATTTTAGTGAATAAACTTACGAACGAAAATACACAATTAAGGAACGGATTAGAACAATCTATCATTTCATCAAAGAAGTTAAGTAAAGAAATAAAGCAATTACTAACCAAATCAAAGAATGTTTCGAATCTTGAGCAGCAGTTAGCATTTGATAAACAACACATCCAAAGTCTAACGGTAGAGTTGGAAAGACTTAAGTCGCAGTATATTGTTATGCAAACTACTGCGGCACAGCACAAGGTGAATTTGATTACTAGTAAAAAAGAAGTAGAAGTGATTAATTCGAGACTAAAAGAATTAGAAGATGTTTTATCAGAAAAAATAACGGAAATACATAGCTTAGAATCTAAACTTTCGTCAAAGACATTGGAGTTACAGAAATGTGAGGCGGAAATTTCATCAAAGTCATTCGAGTTACAGACTGCTAAAACTGAGTGTGGTGTTTACAAACAACATGTATCTGATATGGCTGAACATCCGCATTTAACCTATTCCAAAAGAGGAACAAGTATAACAAGAAAGTTTTAACTTTCCACTTCATAATTTTCTTCACTTCGTTCCGAAAATCATGAAGATTTTTTTGTAGACATTTGTCTATTATTCATCTACGTAATTGATAATGCATAAGAATTGAAAAAAATGAATACAGAGCGTGGTTGAGCGGCAAGACGGTCATGGCGGAGCTCAACATCCTTCACCATTGGCGAAGGACTCTTTTTTGGTAGTAAAGGAGAGTAGTTATCTTGGTTATCAATAATACTTTGCTACATGTACAAAATACAAATGTTCAATTTATAAATTTATAACTACACGAATAGCAGTTGAAATAAATGATTATGGTAAAGGAAAGATTTGCGCACAGACCATAAAGAATTTTTATAGAACGAGCAACTCTCATAGTAAAACATTAGATAAGATTAGTGTGTGGGTACGAAATAATGAGTAACGGGGAAGGAACTGTCATTAAATGGGTTAGGGCTCGGCAAATTCCTCCCTTGAAACAACCCGCTTCTCATTTATTTCGTTGTATGAATGATTCTATTAATTAGTATATAAAATTATAAATAACGTTTTTGTGTTAAATAAAAAATTGTGTTTCATTTAATATGCTCGTTATTCCCTATTATCATAAACAAATTGCAATGTTCTTCACAGTCACTAACGTAACTTAAACTATCAATTGAATGTTTTTTGTTTCGCTTTAATTTTAATCGCATATCTATACTTCGTAATCATGAGCAATACAGTAGCAGACAATCAATATAATATACAGAATATCCAACTACCCAGAGGCATAACTTCAGAAGGACCGCAGAAGGAGGGATGTAGACATAACCTCAGAAGGACTACCGTAGGGGGATATAGATATATATGTGAGAGCGTGTATGATAAGCCATAGGTGAGTGGACATGTATGAGTAGGCATATAAGTGAAAACAGGTATGAGTAGACGTGACATATGAGTGTAAACACATAGGCCAATATGTAACTCCCCCAGAGGAGAGTTTCATATATATATGTAAGCATATGTAGGCGATTTGTTATTTTTGATCGTAAAACGCCTATTTTTCAACTTGTTTGTAGTGTACAACAGGGGAAATAGCGTAGAAGAATAACATAGGCCGCTGTGTAGCACAATATGAGTGGACAACAGGAAGAGTAACATAGGCGACTGTGGGAATAACGTAGACGGCTGCGGCATAGCCAGTGGAATAGTATAGTCTACTAATAATCAATCCCGTAGTCACCCCCACTGAGCTACGAAGTAAAGAAAGAGTATACTTCATCGTTACAAAAAAATATACTTCATCGTTACCAAATTTTTACAGTTCACTCCGTTCTGTAATTTCGACCGGGGCCCCGGCCAAAAATGAGTCTCGTAGGAGACTAGTTGACATGAGGATGTGGGGCAGTCGCATGAGCATGTGTTCCCAATGTAACGATGAAGTGAACTATGTCTCTGCAGTCGTTCACGTTATTCCTCTGCAGTCGAATGCTCACCACTGTATATTGGTAGTTATCAACAAATTGCTTCGTAACAAACGTTAGATTGCTTTGTAATTCAGGTCAACCAATAGAAAAATACGTGAACATCGTTACCAGGAAATGTCTGGAAGGTATTGCGAATCAGTATGTAACTATTGCCACTAATAATGATCACATATGTTTTTCTGCGATGGAGTATAATGGTTAATAACAAATGTTATAATGATGTCTGCATATCCTGGTAACGATGTTCACGTAATTTTTCTACGGTGGTAGATATTTAGTTAGTCTACTTCGTACCCCCCTGGGTAGGTAGAATGTACAGCAATCTAACAATTTTTATATGTTTCTAGTAAAGGGTTCACAACAAAAAAGAGAAGGAAAGAAAGATGTTACTACTACGATTCTCCACCATCCTAATCATTTCGCAGTCACAATAAAGTCACGTGAAAATAAACAACATGATACTTTGCGTCATGTGATACTAATTATGTGATACTATTCATGTAACACTATTCATGTGATACTCTGAGCAAATGAGTGGAGTGTCATGTGCCCTTTGGGCGGTCCTCTGACTGAGCATGACGTAGTATTTACTCATATTGTGCCCACATTATTCCTCCTGTGTTTACTCATATTCTTTTTTTTCTATGTCTTCAGAAGTAATTTCTGGTTTTTTCTGTGAATTAAATGTGTTCCCCCATAAAGGATATTGTCCTTTTCTTTTTCTATTTGCTCCATTGTCTCGATTAGATTCTCATTTAATCCTAAACGTTTTAATTCCAGTTTATTTTCAGGACTCAAACCACGTATAAACTGTATTCTCATCTCTCGGTCACCTATATTTGCATATCTAGCATATTTTGTATATCTTTGTAATACTCCCTAATTGGCCTAGAACCTTGAGTCAATGTTCCGAAAATAACTCTTGCTGTTTTTGGACTTCTGTAGGGAAATGTCTTTTAATTTAATAAATAACTTGACTAATGTTAATATCAGGAAAAACTATAGCATTATTATTATTTAGTACTCCATTAGGCACATTATTAGGAGTTGCGTTATCTACAGGCTCACCGCCTGCGTAAAACCAGTCCTCATCTGTATGGACATCATGAGCTGGAATAATATGTGTTCCAGTACAAGCAGCAGGCCATGCAGGGGGCACCGTACCATCTGGTGCATTTATCCGAGTAGCAGTTATATTGGCATTATTCATAGCTATTATAGCAGCCATATTTGCTACAGCATTTCCACATCGAACATGCGTTAATCTCCATTTCTTGTTCTTCAGTTTTTGCTTAAACCAATCTGATGCCTTTCCAGTTAAACATGATTCGAATAATGCTATAGCTCTTTGCTTACCGGCAGGATTGTTGGTTACAATCCCAGCCGCTGTAAGATATAATCTGAAATTTTTGATAAAATCATCTACATCCTCATGCGCTGAGCCACTAAATCTAGGGGGTGGATATCCAGCCATTCCTATTTGCTGATTTACAGGTGCGTTATTCTGTAAGACAAAAATTTGTTGCTGTAAATTATTATTCTGTTGTTGCAAATTTTGGTTTTGGTTCTGTGCGTTCCGGTATTGTCCTTTCCAGTTCTGCGCCTGACGTATGCAACCAGCATGGCGTCTCCTCCATCGTTCAGTATCTGCATTATATCGCCTTTGCCAAGCTTGCATATCATTATTATAGCGCATAGTTAATCTGTGAGCGTTTCTCCTATGTTCGGCTATTTGGGTCTCTTTGCGCTGAATTAGCAATCGAAAGGCAAATTTTTCACGTAATAATTCCCCAATTCTCTCTTTTCTATTTTCTGCAATTTCTCCGTACTCTCGCTGAGCATTTCTCTCATCCCTTAAGGCATTGGTTAACATTCGATCTGTTCTTAATGCCAATGAATTACTACTAATTTTTCTAAACTAGGACATTGAATTGGGATTTTTATTATTACGTTAGAACTTACTCGTTTTTGTTTTATTATTCCAAGGGATTAAGTTTTCAGCTGTAATTGAAACATCTATTGCAATAATAAGCCCTACCATGTCTCCGACTCCGCTATTAATAACCGATACTCTATGGATTATTTTGTCCATACTGAACGATTTTCCTAATTATACATACGCCAGATCCTTTTATCCTTCGCGTCTGCATCTCCGTCAATCGATTATGGTACAGGAACGCTATCTCATTATTGTGGAAAAGGGTGTGGTTGCCCAATAGCTCCACTGCGGAAAAATTCTGTCTATGTTACCATTTTTCGAAAAAAACGAGTTTGAAAGGGCATACAGATTTGCGTGAAATATATATCGCTAACCAAGAGATTTCTAAGGATTTGATGAGCCTCTTGATATGCTCGGATCTGACGACAGTGGGTTTAAATCGCTGCGACTTTGGCCCTTCCGTGGAAGCTCAATCAGATTACGCAGACATGCTCAGATTAGAAAGACTGGTCGTAGACACGGGCACAAAGCTGCCAAAAGGTTGGAACCATAACTGCTTCGATTTGAGGTATTTAACTATAATCTGTGGGGAAATGCCGGGAGGTTACTTCGGACTCCCGGAACCTGACCTAGTTATTCCTTCCGAGATAAATGAGCTTCGCCTGTTGGGTCCTCATAAAACCAGTCTCCTGTGGAACTCCATTAAAAACTGTCATCATCTTAAAACGCTTACCCTGCGGGATTGCCGCATCGACAGAATTCCTAATATAGATGGGTTAGAAAGTTTATGCATTCAGGAAAGAGTGTTCGGTCCATGGAGCGGTTCGTCTCTTGCAAGGAATGGAAGTCTTCAGCATTTAATCTTGTACGACTCGGAAGATATAGATATGAAATCATTAGCAGAAACCTATCTGAGACTCTCAAGTCTTGAGCTCGTAGATTGCACTGTGTGTGACTTAGATAAAATCGTCGGCTTCCGACGGCTTATGACCCTCAAACTAGACACTGTATCTTTCTTTTCAGGGACGTTGGAGGTCATCGAAACCCTAAGCCTTAAATCGTTATATCTGAAGAGGGTTGACATCGGTCGTGAACGTGTGATTGATTGCGATTTTGGATGCTCATTTATACCGTGGCAGTGCGGTCTCACATATAAAGCTATGCGGTTTTTCATCCAAGAGTATGGGCCCGCAACGGATCACCCCCTATCGCGCTGCTACCCCTGGCGGATATAATTCCACTTAGGATCCCGTATGGATTATATTCTGTCCCGCAGAGGCAAACTGCGCACAATATGAGTGGACTTAGGGAGGTATGCACATGACATCGATACCTGAAGGTCCTATATCATGTGCTCTTGATAATAGTAATTATAAGAAAAATCTTGTCCCATATGCATCGTCATTCACCCACTCTCGGAAATGTTAGCATATGTTTAGTTCAATGAAGCATTGTGTTCCTACTGTTATTCTTCCGCAGAAGCTCACGCATTCTCTGGCGTTGCCTATATTATCACCTAGTGGATATTATCAGTCGGCACAGAAGTTTCATGAGGCAGTAAAAAACAAGGATACGACTATGACTTGTCTGATGTATGCAATTTTTTACATAGGCAGGCCGTATGGCAAATACATGCACCTCGCCTAAGTATATCCCGTATTCATCTTTTAACAGTATTACCATACCTAATGCATGTCATCAGGCAGATATTTTATATATGCCACATGACAAGGTTGGACGTGTTACTTATCTTTTTTGTCTTAATGTAGTGGATGTAGCTTCGAGATACAAGGCCTCTATTCCAATAGGTGCGACTAGCATTAAGAATAGAGAGGGCATCTTAACATCACGTACCATTTCTAAAGCTTTTGAGCAGATTTATGTAAACCGGATTGCCCCCTTATATGGCCAAAATTATTAATCACAGATAAAGGGACTGAATTTAAGGGTGACTGTGAACGATTAATGAGAAGACATGGTGTGGAAATTCAGAAAGCTACGTCTAAACGAACTGTTGTTATTGTTGAAAGGTACAATCTTACTTTAGCTAGGAGACTGTTTCGTATACAGAATGCACATGATTTATCATTACATATGCTGGGAAAATCCCATACTTGGGTGAAGAACCTACCTATAATTGTAGAAGATATTAATAACTCTGTTACGAGGTTAATAGGTATAACTCCTGCCAAAGCGATAAAAAAGAAAAAAGTTTATGCAAAACATTCCTGCAGATATGTTAGGCCAATTGGTTATGATGAATCACGTCTGTCCTACAGAGATAGTGTTCGTTATCTTCTTGAACCTGGTGAGCTTGAAGGTGGACCAAAAAGCAGAGGTACGGATATGAAGTGGAGTCCTGAAGTTTATAATATTGGCGAAGTTCGTGTACAAAAAAATCAACCGGTCCTTTACGCTATTGGCGCCCTTCAGGTAAGTCACTTGACGGACCTGAACGTAGATTTGTTAGGGAAGAACTCTTACTTGTTAATGATGGGTTGAATTACCTCCTGAGAGTCTTTTTCATCAGTAATCACACCTGACCTGAGGTCAGCGAAATTATTCCCGGATACTTCTCGTCAGAAAAGTTGAATATAGCTCATAATTAGTATTTTACAATTGTTGAGGAAATATCGGTACTTATCAATATATATTAGTACTTATCGTTACTTGTCTATCAGGAACACGTTAAGTGCATTGTTGTGTGATAAAGTTTGTCGAAAACATATATTAGCAATAAGCTGTATGTCGTATGGTATATCAGCAATGGATCAGGAACAGAGATTATGGCCATGGACTTTTTGTTATTTACGTTCTGAGAGGAGGGTGTCTTACCAATAGCCGTCCCTTTACCATGATAGCCTACACTACTTGATCAGTCACCGGATGCTCCATTTCCATTAGAATGTTCACCTGTGGCGTGTCCACGGCCTCCTCTGTGACCTTTTGGGGCTGCATATGTGTCTTTTAAAACAAGCAGGATAATCAAAAGAATGATAACTCTGCGCATCCTTATGCAATTATACACGTATAATCAATTTTAATACCTAGACATGAGTATCGTCTTCAGATGGGTGAGGAATAAAAAAACAGAATTCGTTTATTGCGTATACTGAAACGTAATACCCTGAACAATTGTTAGTAGTATTAAATGAATAACAGCCCACATAAGTCTAATCCGTTATTCATGTGAAGTAAACATGATTCCAAGTTCCGTTTGTCTAGTGCCATTGAAGTAGGAATCCGCCGATCATGCACATTGTTGACTAAGTACTTAGTGGTTTCGCAAAGGAGATATCATTCCCATGATGCTCACGTTATCGTTCTCCTCGCTCATCACCCTAAAAAAAACCCGTATATTATCATAATACAAATGTTATCCAATACTCCAATAGTATTACACTGTAACGATGGCCACATATTTTTCTACGGTGTATCTCGGTGGAACATATGGCAATTACATATTTTTTGTAACGACGTCAACTCATGTCTCAGTAAGTAAATGTGGTAATAACGTCCACTTGTTTCTGCAATAGAGAATAATAATATCCGTATAGTTGATGAATAGTCGACTACAGGGAAGAAATTTACTTCATAGGCACATTAGTTGTCTACTAATTTTCTCTTCTGCAGTTAATATACGTAGTACTTATTCATGTGACACTATTCATGTGATACTCTGAACTGACTGTCTTGCAGCTCAACCACGCTTTTAACAGAGGAACCTAGGTTCCTGGGAGTAGAGTGTTATGAGCACGTGACGTGGCTATGGTCTCTTTCTGTGGTCCACTCACGTTTTTCTCCGCAGTTATTCAGTCACCAACGTGACAGTAGTGGCAATGTGTGGAGTGTAATACGCATATTGTCTACGTAATCTCCAATGTCCTCCACCCACTAATGCCCTTTCGTATCATAATATTTCTACCTGCTGTTAATTTTATATGAGTCATCTTTACAAAAAAATATGCCCATGGTTACCGCATGGCCAGATTTCACCCAAAATATATACACTCGTATCAAACAATTGCACTGTTTAGTCTCTATCTATTGGTACGAAGTGAAAATACACACAGGGCTTATTCATTGAACGATTCAAGTTTCTGTTGAACTGTGATACAAAACTGTCACAAAAGCCATCAACAGAAAAATATATGTAGTGATAGTATTACGGTAACAATCATTTTACGTTATGATAATAGGAACACATTCCTAAGACCTCAGAGCCTATGAACTGAGCGTGGGCTTCGCCCAGCCAAGGGCTCTTGCCGCTCAACCAGTAGAACGACCCAAAGGGTGCGCTGTTAACAGAGGAGGTTCTACGTAGTACCTTTTAGGTAGGAACCTACATTCACTTCCGAAGGAAGGTCTAAAGACTAGGGCAAGACGGTCAGGTTGAGTGGAACAACGTGGGTGAATGATGACGCAGACTGGATGAGATTTTCTCCTAATCATTACCATCGAGAGCACATGAGCCTTTGGCTGGGCAACACCCACATAGGACCCTGAGGCATCGATGGCATGTGCATACTCATTGTCTATTAATAATAGTCCTGCAGTCAATGGTCGTGTGATTGTCTCGTAACAGTATAGGGATTTACAAAAATTTTGGTAAGAAATTCGTTATTCACTATATTCTCTATGATGCAGTCGATAACCGTTGTCCACTCAGTCGAACTCTCGAAGAACAGCTTTAGCAATAGGAACACATTTTATAAGACCTTTAAAGAGGAAGTTCTACTGCGTACCTTTTAGGTAGGGGTATTCTTTCCACGTTAACTTCTACCTGTTGAAATTGGCTGCGGATATCGATTAATTTTCAATAACCTAAGTAGTGTAACACAATATCGATTGCGGATACGTGAAGCATATCCCTTGGATATCACCAGGTAGAAGAACCTTAACATTAACGTCTGAAGTGAACCTTATTTTCATTCACAATAAGAAGAGAACAGTATTAAGGTGTGAAGCGAACTATTTAGTTCAGTCGGGGAACCCTTGGCTGAAGAGAATATGGAGAAGAATATAAATAAACTATTCCTCCTGCTGTCCACTCATAATCTTCTCAGCAATCATGCAGGTATTCTTCTCCACAGTAGATATTGTGTTACTTACATCATCGAACTACTTATTTCTTTTCTGCAGTCGCTTACATCATTTCCTCTGTTGTCCTCTCAAGACAGGTATATGTAGACAGGGGTCCTCTCTGCAGGAGCCAATATATCACGTGATTTTGCTGACCCGAGGTCAGCAACATTTATTACCGTTGTCCACTAATAATCCATTCCGCAGCCGTCTACGTTATTCCTCCGCAGGACTAATCATAGTGCTCTCGTTACATAAGAAAATTCTAGTCCTAAGTGTAGGGTGACAGGTGACCATGGCGCAGTATTTACTCATGTGACACTCTGCACAAATGTGCAGAATATCAGGTGACCATGACGTATATTTACTAACGATGAAGTATGCATCCGCAGCCGCCTACCTAGAACGTAGGTTTCTACTCCGTACCCTCTGGGTAGAACTTCCTCTTCAAAGGTCCTAGTAAATGCTCTCCATAATTTTCCTCGTTCCTCGAAAAATCAGCCCATAGGTCCTTCTGAACTACCCTCTGGGTAGGACTTCCTCTCGAATTATAAAACATTTGGTTTTATGGGAAGTGGAGAATTTTTTATGTGGGCATTTGTCTATTATACATCTACGTAATTGATAATGTATGCGAATAGCAAAAAAATGGATGCAGAGAGTGGTTGAGCGGCGAGATGGTCATGGCATTACGAAGTAATGTGTTCCTAATATTATTGCTGCGTTAAATATTAGCCTTCTCTTCGGATGTACCACAGTTTTTTTCTGCACAGAGTGTGAAAGACGAAGGACTGCAATAGCAAATTTCGAACTGAGAGGGACGTTCTGGGAATAATTTTGCTCACCTTTTTTGTTCTTTCGTGGTGGTTTGTTATGGTTAGGCAAGTGTAATGTTATTGCCTCCCCTGGCCCTTTCCAGCCTACCTGCAATTGGGTGGATTCTTGGATTATAGAGAGTATATATTCTGCATGTCGTTCCCATGCGTCTTTTGGAATTTGCGAATTCTCGTTTGCATTCCATATTTTGTATGGGTCGAAAACAAAGTGGGTTTTTGGTGTATGGTTTACTTCGAGAGTGTCAGAGTTTACCTGTTCTCGAGAACGGTTAAGAACTATGTGTGTAGCGTCTACTGTTTTCCAAACCTTGTCTCTGATATACATATTCTGTGCTTGTTCGAGTTTTGTGTAAAGGTCCATTTCCAGTTACTACCTCTAGTATACATTATCATACAACGTTTTTCAGAAAAAATAATTATTTCATCAAACACATTTCTCCTAGAATCGCAGTTAGTTCTCTTAAAACAATTTGGGAGAATGAGCTTTCGGAGAAGTGATAATGGTGATTATCTGGAACGTTGTATTGCCTCTACTTAAATAGCATAACCAGCATAGTAGCGATCCTAATCATAGGTTGCCGTACTAATGCATGAATTGTTTTTTGTCACTAGCTTATTTAACAATCACTAAGCACATGTTGCTGTCTACTTCTGGTAACGATCAATGTCATGTAATTATTGTTAGGTTTATGATAATGGTCATATAGGGTCATTTAGTCTGAGCACCATTTCTTTCAGGAGTTACCTCTTTAAAATACTGGAGGACATATGCTCTACACCCCCACATGAAGTCTCCAGGTAACAAAGCAGACTAGATTCTCGGATTTTTCCCAGTCTTAGCATTAAGAGTCACTTCGCATATGTTATGGAGAAAAAATGGAATTTACGGATACTCGGCATTACATAGAAATGGCGAAAATCTTATATGCTCGTGTACTATATGTTTGTAACAAGATATTTGTGATGCTATATGCGGTCCATATCAATATGCTTACTCGCCTCTACATATTAGCATAACCCCTTCAGATTCGAGAATGTCTACACATGGTTAAGCCGGTGAAGTAAGTACTAATATATCCTTTGGATACACTAGTATATCATGCGTTGTAATTTTTTGTTATTACCAATACTATTCTATTATGTTATACCAATCAACTGATAATGTGTTATACTGATAATGTCAATACTAAAAATGTCACATGGGCAACATAGGCAACATGGACAATAATTACGCCACGATCACAGGATACTCTACATAAATATCACCGCTCAGCAGATTATATCCGCCTACAGTGGAAACGAATTAGTTGTTATGCCGTAGTAAGCATTATTTTTTGGAATTCCCATGTTGCCCAATTACATCCCATCCCGCAGTCGTCTACGTTATTCCATTTTACGTCATCGTTACAAAAAATATTTTTCTTCGAAAGCTCTTAGGAGACCCGTCTCCCTAATGTTATTCCCCTTTGCAGTTGTCCACGTAATTTCCAAGTCCATGCACTTTTTTAGTAACGATTGTTATCCAATCTCATTGAGGAGTACAATCCTTACCAATAATTCCTATTCTAATTCATCGTTACAAAAAATAGAAGTACCTCCTCTCTTCAGGAGAGTCATTCCAGTAAACATCCCTTTGGGTATAATTTTGCTTACTAATGTACATGTTCTACATTTATAACGTATAGATAACAGTAGATGTTTTCATTTACAACAGACACTTCAAATTTGTTCCTTGGTTATATTGTACAAATGCCCTGTTCCGTTCTAAAAGTTTTATTATCCATGGAAATATGACGCAATGTATGAACTAATGACGACATAGTTTTTTTAGTTAACTACATAAGAGTTGTTTTTTAGTAACTCTTCGAGTCGGTAACAAGAAGATATATCTAGTTGGGAGACGAAATAGTCAAAGACATGGTAATTCTTGTATCTACTATTCAAAAACCCTTAAATTTTACCTAATAAAAGCAAAACCAGTACTCACACTTACGTTTTTTTCTTGTTCAGGTTTCTGCTTATTCTAGTTGAATAACGTGGTCGAGTGCATAACGTTCGGCTACACGTCTCAAGCTATAATTAGCATTAACTTACTATTTTACTTCTACCCTTCGGGTAGATTACTGCTTGCAAAAAAATACAATAAATACCTTAGTAATTATAGACTATATACGATCATGTCTTTTCTTTTTCATCATGTCTCGATAGCTATTCTGGATGTACAGAAGCTACTTTTTGTAGAATGTTGTTAGATACCCTATCACGGCTACGATAATGGACCTATGTTCCTTGTCGGCAATAACATATTGATCGAAATAGATTTTTACCCCATTAAAGTCTATATGAGTAATATTGTCTTCGTGCACGAATACTTCAGTCTTTTCATTGAATTCTTTCTTATTTCCTTTCTTGAAGATAACAAGGTCATTTTCATATTTTTCAAATGTGAATTCCAAATTTTTACTAGTCGGAAAGACATTTACATGAAAACCCTCGCTACTTGCATTGGTAATGCGAAATATATCTTCTAAGCCAATGGAAGATAGCTCTGATTTTATATACGTCGGTAGACTTATCATATTTAATCTCTGTTAAAAAGTCAGAGGTTTTATAGACACTATTATTATTTCAATTTTCATTTCACAATCGACTAACTGTCATCCCTCACGCTTTAACACCCAATAACAATGCATAAAACAGGAGATTACACAGTTTGGTGCAATGTCAACTCTTTAAAATATTGTATTCTGCTATGTATAGGGCCGAAAAGGGGAGGATCGAGGAAATGAGTCTAGTCCTAGAGTAACCCCAAAAGGTGTGCCCGTTGGGCAGTCTTCGACTGAAATAGCCCTTCCAAATGAAGTAAGGGCATCAACATTTACCAAAACATAACAAGCAAATCACCATACAGAGAGAATGGTAAGGGGCTGTTCATCGCATGCTCTGTGCTTAGAAATCGCCTCTCTATGTAGACTGACTGTGCATCATATTTTTTCTACTGTGGGCGTCCTTTTCCTTAGAGAATAATCGCTAACTAATTAATACTAATAAAGACTCTCATGCGCAATTTTTTGGGCAAGCCTAGGCAGAGCCTACGAAGAAGTTTCACTGAAAAGTTTTGTTTACATTTATATTCGATTGCAATTCGCAAGATACAAATGAGTTATCCGTTATCAGTAATAAAAGAAGACATCATTAGATACTTAAAAGATAACAGGAATAGAAGACATAGTGCTGAGCCAGTATTCGATATTTTCCGTTCCAGTGATAATCTCCATTATCTGCAATCTATCCTTTCTAAAAAAAGTCGCACTTCGAATACTAGGTTGAACAAACCCACCGCAAAGACTCTGGATCAGTTCATTGAAGACATGAGACCTGTTGTAGGAAAAGGTGATGTCTGGGAAGAAGTACGTAAACTCAATAGGGCATTTTACATTTACGCCACAATGCCAGAAAGGATCAAACTACCAGAAGACATGGAGAACATGTTCAACATAGAAACTATAGACGAGTACAGTATGGATGATACACTAACGAAAGTCTTCACATATGGGGAAAGTTCTCGGGCAACAGAAATACCGGTCTGGATGCGTGGTACTAGTCATCCCGATATTAAAAAAGAAGCATTAGATTTACCGACGACGCAAACACCAAATAATGATGAAAACAGCAACGAACTCATTACAATGACACGTGGATGGGACATAAAGAAATATAGGAAGTACATGGAATAATTCAAGGGAAACCTTTTCTCTCGAATACAATGCATATTAATCGTAGGTAAATATGAAGGACTAGACAAAGGAAATGCTATTAACACATTTTATCAATCGCAAATTCCTTAGAGTGTCAGGTTAATCTGGAATAACTCTCATGTAAAAATCGTTCTGTGCACCTAGGTAAAGGAATCATATGATCGTATAGCAATTCTCTCTGACAATTTTTTGCCAAGAATACAAGTAGGATAACGAGATCATGAGGACATGAGACATAAATACCGACCACAGAATAGAATATTAGGATATTGGCAGTGAAGAAGAAATTAGTAGACAACATGATGAATAACGTGAACAAAGATGTCACGCAGAAAATTAGTGGACAACGAGAAGTGAAACGTAGATATGTGCGGTATATCATCCACGTAATATATTTTGTATATGGGGTTAAAAATGAAAAAGTGTAGACGCTCAGTCACCTGATCTACTAGTCGGAAAAATTTCGGCAGGTGTGACCAGGCGGGTCACACTTGACGTAGAGAGTGGCGCAGTATATATTCTACTATATAATCGACATTCAGGAATACCTTTATCACGTTCTCTTTCCATTTGTCTTTGCAAGTATTTTTATATAAGTAATCAGTCATAGACTGCTCGAAGAGCAAATGATAAAACTTTTTTACAAAATAGGCCTTTGCATTGTTCAACGAAACTTCACGCATTATTTCACAAAATAACTAGCGAGGTAGTGAATCTTTCGTATACATTTGTCTTGCAGTTGATTCCTATAACACCTCGTTATCGTTAACCTAGTAATTATTCGCAATTGATATCCAGAAAATACGTTTCATGTATGTCGCACATGTTATCAAAATTTATGCGGATATACTGTTGTAACATGAGTGTCCTGGTAAATAGATTACAATGTAGATATTCGGAACGCATATATCTGCTACAAAATAGTATAGATGTCTAGCTAGAGGCTAAATCCTGCTAAACGGTTCAATTCTAGGAGTGATAGCGTGGGAATAACAAGATATCGACTGAAGAATTGTCATCATTAAAAGTCAAGTGCGGCACAGAATATTAGAGGACAACAGGATTTGATTATGGAGAAGAAAATTACCTGGGAGATGTATTCCAGAGGAATCCTAGTATTTGTGTACTTAATGTTTAGTCATGTCATCGACTACGACGTGTTAGACAAATGACGCAAGTTTTCTGTCAAAACTGTGGCACAAACAGTCACGATTAGTGACGATATAATGGCAGCTATTAATGGAAAAAATTGTTGTCTCTAAACTCTTTTGCTGTCCATGGTAATTCCCATGTTTTTCCATTGATGAAGTAACACTAAGACTTTTTTGCGATTACAGAATTTGTTGAATGTAGCATGTCTAGTAATAGGTTATGAAAAATAGAATGCGAAGTAGAACATAGGTACAGCGCATATATGGACACCAGGATAATGATGGTGAGTGGACAAGAAGGAAATGAAACGCATCCCTTGAAACACTGTGTGCTACCCACAAAAAAGAAGATATGTTTTTGAAGTATCTTGTCTGTACCTCACATATTCATTAACAGTGTAACTCCATTATGTTCCACATACCTCCTGTCATTTCACCTTTTATTTTCAGCATCTTTACATGTTCACTCCCCTGTGCCCTCAACTTCTCCATGTACTTCGTATCATATCGCTTCTTGCAATATTAAAGGGATCCACCCTGTATTGTTCACATTATTTTTTTCTCTTATCCATATTATCTTCTATCTATGCCTGTAGTAAGTCCACTCGACATCCAAAAGATGCTATTCATGAATCCCGTTAACCACATTAATCATCTACGTTATCTTCTCTCTTTCATTTACGCCAGATAAGTCATGAATAACCCCTTGTTTTTTCACTGCCTTATGTGTTTTCCTGCGCTGACGGATAATATCCCTTCATAAGTTGAACCCACTAATATATAAAAATCTGTGATAATCTACTTCGTACCCATAGGTATGCTTTGGATGAGTCGAATAAACATATACACCATTGTAGAGAAGATTGCAGATGTCGCCACAGGAATTAAATAACAGCTGTCACAAATTCCAAGAGTGTATTGCTGCGCAATGTGTATCAATCGTTATCAACTTCGGGAGAAGGAATATTAGTTGACGGAATGGTGGACAGACAGGAATTGGCCGCAGAGAGAATACTAAATATCAACTGCGAAGAATACATGTAGTCATTATGGGAGACAATATGGACAAATGGAAACCAGCTATGGGAAGAATATTAGTAGACAACAAGGTTATGAATAGTAGATGATACTTTGCAAAAATCTCGCATTTTTTAGTTAGCATTATAATATGCTGAATTTGGCAAAAATTAGCCATATTACGGGCTATTAAAAGTATAGTAAATAAATGTTTCACATAATATTGAAAATATAGGCCCATACTAGGTCATATCAAAGGACTACAATTGGCTGATGATAGTTTTTTGATTATCCCGGCAGATTGGTACTATTCGCTAAAAAATTTATATTGCTTTTATAATGCCATCACAATGCTATTACAGGAAAAAATAATAAATTAAATCGTATTTAGCAAAAATTAATGCTAATAATAGACCAATAAAGTCTCTTTTTATCATTTTTTTTAATGTATTAATAAATAGAATTTCTTTTCATTTTATGAGAATCCAGTACAGTAAATCTGCAAATCAATTTTTTTAAGTCAATATTTAAGCGCACTACATGCATTCGTTTAAAAATAAATTTTATAAACACTTGCTATAATTATTTACCCTATCAGCTAATTTAATTTAACATGAAAATATTTAATTCTACGTCAATTTGATAAATGTTTAATTCATTTACATAATTACGTTAGCTTGCTGGTGAAATGAATAATTGAAAGGTAAAGTGATCAAAATTTTTAATTTTTAATAAAACACGGTATAAGAATTATCCAGAGGTCAATTTTTTTGAGATTGCAAGTTGGTTCTAATGGTTGATAAGCAAATTCCGAATGAATGTGAAAATAATTCTTTATCATATGTGTTAAAGGTCGGAAAAATGATTTACATTATAAATTGGGATCAATTGAAGTTTGATCCATATTGATATTAACAATATGATTATTATCCAATTTTTACATTTATTAGAAACTGTTTCAAATTCTTATATTCAGTTTATAAATGTTTCTTGCCCAATGGTACCTCATCCCCCGGAGTGGGCATCATGGCGGATTTATGAAATACCCCAAAATTTGTCCATGTCAAATTAAATAAATATTTAACAGGAGTCAACCAAGGGCGCAGCAGGAGTTTTTGCCAAATTTCATAAATGGGCCCACTGGCTTATATAATATAATAATAAATTAATAATTAGACTTTATAATTTAATTAGTCTAAATTAGTCTAAATCAGTTTAATCAGCTTAACAATACAAAACATTTCTTTCTTGTAATTAAACTTTTTTTATTCTTTGAATTTTTTTTTTTATAATGCTAAAAGTTAATATGAGTAGACATCATCCTTTTTAACCAGAAATCTTATTAATATCCTCAATTTTTATACATTATTATCTAAGTATCTAAAGATAACTATTAAATGATTATAATTAACAAGACGATCAAAAAATGAAAATAATACTTTAGGACAAAAAAATTATCAAGATGATTATGATTTGAGCAAGAAAACAATGATTTTTTTGAATGATTATGAAGATCTATTCAAAAGTTAACGAATTGTTTTAATTTATAAAACTCATGAACTACCATGAAACATTACCATCATTAATGGAAACATGAAGTCATAATCCTATTATTGATATTTGGAGCCAGGAGTTTACGATAAATATGTTGGCAAGAAGATCCGATTACGGGATATCCGGATATCTGAAGTTAATCATAGTGTTGGTGGAAAATTGGTAATGCTGGCCAGCACCTAAAATCACGTGTCTCCACGTTTGTTTTTTGCTATATACCTATATACTAATGTATAATAATTGATAACAGATTATCTGACGGATTAATCTGGATTTATCCATGATGGATGATGTATCCAGAAATTATCCGCTATCTGGCTTTGGATCAGATGAGATCGCATATCTACGTAAATATGTCAACCATGTTATACAAAGAGATTTAACAAATATTTTCTTTTGATACTATTTTTAATAGTAGTGACTTGATTCTAATATTACTCATATACAACAAGGTACAGAATTAGGGTCGTGATCTCCCAGTCCTTTGGATCCATATTTCCATGATCGATATCATAATGATTCTGAGTTTTAAATAAATGGTAAATAATATTTTAACAAAAAAATCACGATAATATTGTTTAATTTAAGTGTTCTGATATATATACTTACGATCCAAATGGCGTATTGAAGCTGCTAGATTTATTTCTTCCAATCCCATAAAAATGACCTCTTAATTAGGTGATGTTATGCAAGTTTAATCTTCATATTGTTCAATGGAGCAAGCTTTATTATCAATTCACATCCATTTTTATAATTCTGCATCTTACACTTTCCAAGAAGAAAATGGTGATTATCAAAAAATTAATGTTTGCATTGGTAATGTGGTCGGAATTGCTTCAGTGAAAGTTGAAAGCTTTGCTGACGTTAAAGCAATACTCAAACTCCCATGGAATGATGGGCAAGATTATATTTTTACATATTATCTGTTTGAAGATGTTTCAAGGTGAGATGAATTACTTTCATATCCAATATACCAATTACAAAAAGTTACTAATAATTCTTGGGTATCGAATTTATCATAGACTAGTAGATGAGCCTGTAGATCATCTCAAATTTTGATATGTCCGTAATAATTTTTTATTTTTGGCAATATAATAATATTTTATTAATATTTTAATGGAAATAAATGTAATGTTAAATTAGTTATATTGTTATTAAAAATACCTTTTTATGTCTATTATTGTTATTACAAATGTCTTTTATTGTGATTATACTAGCCTAATATTATTATTACAAAAAGCCTGAAATTAGACTATTCTGTTCCTAAAATATTTATTTACAATTTTCTTACTAGCACTATTAACGAGCTTGATGATAGGCCTGATTTATTACTATTACTAGCACATGAAAATACTTTTATTAGCCTTATATTAAATCTGTGGTTTTTTGTAAAGTAATAGGTTAATCCAGGAACACGTAACACGTAATTCTATTACAAACTCCTGACGATGATTTAAAGGAACCTTCACTCGAAGAAAATGATGAGTTCCTTGCCATAAATGAATTGGAGACAGATATTGTAATGAAGAGAGAAAGGTTTGTTGCAGGTATTACTCAACACGTCTGCCCATGGTAGTATTTTTTCCTTACCATAGTCCGTAGAATCTTAAAAGGTAGGCTAAACAAAAATCGGGTTAACCTGTTATTTTTTTGTCTTAGCCATGCAGCTTATTTACTGTAAATATTTCACAATGTCCGTAGCCCGTTCAATGGCAAAGAAACCAGGTGTACCCTAAACATTTGTTCGTTAGAGACGGCCTAAAGGGACATGTTCAGAGATGTATGGAAATAATACAGAATAGAAAAGTGCATGCTAAAATATAAGGGTAGTGTAACAAAACGGTTTGACGACATGCTCCTGCTATTGGCTAGTAAAAGGAACAAAAGAATACCGTATGCATATGCAGGGAAGGTTATGAGTGGGTATAGGAACCCAAGTTCTTACCTGAAAGGTACTACGTAGAACTTCCTTATTTAAAGAGCGCACCTGTGGGTGATTTCTCTTTAGAGATCTTCCGGAAAGTGAAATTGGACGTCTGCGGATAAAAATATGTGAAGGGAAAATGCAGTCCCACACAAAAAGAGTACTGTGGAATTCATTCATTTGCAATACGAAAAAAGCTGTAAGCTACTATCATTATGCATGATATGCGGAGACGGACCAACTCAGTATCACTGCTATATCTCTAATGCAGACAGATTAAGGAGTAACAATAATCTCATGTGAATGTGTGGAAAAATTCAGAGCCATGCGAACCCTAACAAGCCATGTGAATGCGAAAAGGAAAAGGCAGTGCAAACCACAAGCAGAACAACAGACTGCGCAATAGCCTGTGCTACAGACTGCAGTAGAGAAGGAATCCTTCAGCATATATACAAAAACAACGCCCGTACTAAGAGTCTACGCCTAAAATATATGAAGAAATTCCCGATGCAATACTATGTATTCTGGTGAAATCATGTTTCGCCCAAAACTAAGAAATGTTGATCTCTGGAAAGTAGCGTGTAATTCGGTAAACAGATTCATTGGAAATAAGTAGTTGTAGTCAGTTCCACTAAGCGAATCTGAAAATACCTCTTATTCGGCCGGAGACTGCCCAAAGGGTACAGAATTTGTCACGTGATTTGAGCGACTTCAGGTCGTCGAAATTGTGCCCTTTAGGGCAGTCTCTGACTGAATTTTATTCACAGAAATTTATCATGTGATTTTTGCCAAGAGATTCCGTGATTGTTAGTCCCGTCTCTTCATCCATAATTACGAAATCATTAGTGCAGAAGAGATATTGGGTACATTTCCGTCTAGAAACATCATATACATTCCGGAGGCAGGAATATTTAGTCTTTAGACCTTCCAAACCACCCTCTGGGTAGGGCTTCTTCTCGAATTATAAAACATTTGGTTTTATGGGAAGTAGATAATATCGTATTTACCGAATGCAGAACAAAAAGGAGAGTAAATATCAATGGAGAAGTATGTCCAGAAGACATTTACGAAAATGTGAATAGCAAAGATAGAGCAGCTAGTAGATGTGGAAGTGTTATGGGTTGCTGGCAAGCAGTAGTTTAAAGTGGATATTTGGCCTATAGTTGCTCTGCTTCACAAGTTAAAGGCGTGGGTGTGAAAAAATGATCATACAATTCAGTCAAAGACTGCCTAAAGGCACAACTTCGGATAAGCAGATAACGTTACGTGACGTGTCAGGCGACCTGTGTTGCTTAGGTTTTCCCATGTAGACAGAACCCTCTGAGTGCCTGCAGCCGTCTACGTTCTCCTTCCGCAGTCACCAAAAAAATCACGTAATTTCAGCGACCTCAGGTCGCCCAAAATCCTTGGCAAAATTTCTCCCTGTTTTCCATTCCTAATCATTTCCGCAGCTGTCCACGTTATTCCTCCCGTTGTCCACTAAAAAAACTTTAACGACCAGAAGTCGCTCAAAGTCACGTGATTTGGGCGAACATTGATCGCCCAAATCTCTTGGCAAAATTTCTTTGCAAAAATCCCCTGTCGTTCACTCATAATAATTTCCGCAGAAGCCCCGCAGGAACTCACGTTATTCCTTTCACATGTTGTCCACTAAGTTAGATTATGATACGGGTGAATGTTGACGTAGACGGGAGAAGATCTTCCTATAATACTTATCATCAAGAGCACATGATATAGGACCCTCAGGTATCGATGTCACGTGCATATACCTAGTTTCTACTCCGTACCCTCTGGGTAGAACTTCCTTTCAAAGGTTTTAGGATATGTCCCTAAGTCCACTCATATTCTTCAACGACGGTATCCGGAAATTTTCTTGGCAAAAGTGATCGGCGTGACGATTAGTCACGCTCACGTGATTTTATTCATGTGACACTCTTAACAAATGAGTAGAGTGTCATGTGTCCATTACTTACATTATCGAACCACTTATTTTCTTCTTCACAGTCTCTTACGTCATTCTGTGTCTACGTCATCCCCCTGTTGTTCACTAACCAAATGTTTCGGTTCTTACTCTAGTTACCAGTCTGGATTTCCAACTATCTCGGCTAATGGGTTGTTCCAATCTATACCAATGGAAGCTGCGTATTATAAGAATTTCGGCATGACCACTCATAGAGCTTAAATATTCTATAGGTCCCGGTAGCTTTTCAAACGCTTCTATGTAATCCACTGTCTCCATATGGTGGTGATCAGTCGGAGAGCCCTTGGCTGGGCGAAGCCCACTGCTCTAAGAGCAAAATTATTCTCCTGAAGGGAGGTTACACTGGAATGACGAATGTGTGAAAATGGCCATATTAGACAGTTATTTAGTCTGTAGGACCTTCATCGAAGTACGTTTTTTACGTATTTTGCACTCCATTATTTTCACTTCCTTCGGAAGGTCCATAAATGGACTGGAATGGGCTATTTCTTCGAAAGGCTACGCCAAGCCCTCTTTCTTTTTCAGTGGAACCCGAAGGAAAAATTATGCTCACCACTGTATATTCGCCTTTCTTGAGCAAAAAATGCCCAGAATATTGAATTTCTTATGATGGTCATAGGTAAAATGAGTGAGAATAAATCCGAGCCTTCGACTCTATGCTACAATCCCTTAGCATTGCCGGAAATACTAGCTAATGTACTTCGCTTGTGTAGGGATTATAATACATCACTTCGTGAGCTCTGCTCAGATTTACACTCGTTTGCACTGGTTAACCGGCTATGGTATAGATGTACCATTCCTCTCTTATGGAAAAGCCTGTGTTTCCAACTCAATAACACGAAATTTGCTCGTTTGATGGGCATTTGGGAGATAAATATGAGAAAAAAACATGTCTGAATGGGTTGGTCGGTACAACATGTTTAAGCTATTTAATACTAAACAAGATAGAGATCACCGTATTATCGATAAGCTTGCTGTCCAAATGTCCTAACCTGGAATTGTTGGATATTACATACGTTATTTTACTGGATTAAACTATCTGGCGTTTCGAAACTTTCCTTCGTTAAAGTCTTTATATATAGTAGAATGTGCATTTCTTTATGAGCTTATTGTTGATAAATGTAAAAAGCTAAAACATCTTAGTGTAATCGGAGAATACCACAAGGCTGATATGAATGTGTCTTTGATTATTCTTCCGTCCCTCATTGATATAGAACTTGGTAATGTTAAGATAGATAGTGCTTTGGCACAACAGATTACGTGCTTATATCATATCAAATATCTTTCTTTATGGCAAGTACATATCTCATGGGGATTGTCATTATTCCCAACTAGTCTAGAGTCCCTTACATACCATCCTTCGTGTTTATAAAGATTACTGTATGCTGAGTTCTACATACCCACTATTAACTCACTTAGCATTGGATGGAGTAGCAGTCGTTAACCTGCATACTATTGCGAAAAGATGTCCAGTACTCACTAGCCTCAAGCTATTCGATATTGGCAAAGTTATGAGATTTGCATATATATCGGAATTACGTGATCTGACAATGTTATTATTATTAATTGATGATATGTCTGTAGATTATCTTCGCATAATTTCATCACTATCTGACCTTCAAACGTTAGATATAGAGATGCAAAGAGATTCTCCCGTTCTAGATATATCGTGTTTATCCACGATGAAAAAATTGACAGATATTACCCTTCGATGCAACGAAGAGAGGTATGTGATACCGGACAGTTTGAGATCTATAGTAAAGATCGTAGAATGTAGCTCTAATTTTTAGGACTGTCTAGCTAATACAGAGAGCGGGTATAATGCGGGTAAAAGACAGCAATGGGCTGGATATTATATTTTTCAACAATGAACTAATTGCTAATCTCTGAGAATTGTTAGATTTATAGGCTACAAATGACAACGGATTGTAGACTGCGGAATAAAAGTAGTGGAAAATAGAACCTACGAATAGACATTCAGATGGAATCCACTACAGAGAAATAGTAGTGGACGAGATGGGTAACGACATGAACAATTGTTGCACAGAATATTATCGTTCGTTATATTGCTTCTAAATAATTTCTGGGCCAACACCATTACATGAATTATGTAACAATTGTACTAGAAGTGCCTGGAAGAATTTACTTGTGGATAGCATTATACAGCGACATAGTACAATGCGATGGATAATAGATTACGAAGAAGAACTAGTGGTCAACCTTCATGATGCGACTATGTTCGCACATTGTATATTTACCTACAATGGAAATACGGAATGGATTTTTGTTGGTAACTTATTACATATTTTTGAGCGTAGCTCAGTCTCCGACCGAATATGATGGGTATATTATTCGTATATTTTTGTTGGTAATGATTGTTCCAAATTTAGTAATACGCTAACAACAAATTTGTGGTACAATGATTAGTCGTAGACAGCTCAAAGAGCACATATACTTCTCTTTGTGTTAGTTAAACTAAAGGAGCCCCTTGAGAGAATTTCTACATTGACATATATATTAGTTGATAGCCAGTTATGTAATTCTGGTAGTGTTATCCACTTACATTTCGTAAATGAATAGTAGAAATAAACAAAAAACGTGACTGAGTTTTTTGATTACAATGTACAGCATAAGGGGACAGTATATGGGACGTAAACGATAAATTAATATCGGCATACATGTTCTTGCTTGCCAACTCCTCCTGGGATTCCAATTTTCTTCATATACTAGATATCTTTTCGTGACTTAGAAATACAATAATGTAGTAATAATGAATTCGAAGAATATATAATATGTACTATTGTTAAGGGATGATACCCGACAGTTAGTATATCAACAGAACGTAGTGAGTTATCTATGGTCTAAGATAAACACGAAATCGTTATAAAGGTTAACAACGATTGTGAATACCTACTATCCTACAGCACAACAGAGGCTAAAAAAGAAAATTAATTTTAGCAGTTGGCGGCGCCTGAAGGGTATTCCTTCAGAATGTGAGCTCATGTATATGGTCCACCTTATTGGGATTGAGACATGACCATAGGATCAACTACCATCAAACAATGAGGACGGAGATGTTTGACAGTAAAAAGTAATACTCGCTACCTTCTTATCCGAACCTATTGTTTCTTCTCTATTCGAACGCCTGCTTCTGTTACAAGCAAATGACTTTTAACTTCGTATGGACAATTACGATGGTTACGAATGAAAGAGTAGGACTGAACAATTGCTTGCCATCATGTTCTAGAGAAAGGTATAGAGATGTTCTTAAACAGGCTGCATTAATTTAATACAGAACTGTGTGTTCCCTCCCGTCTCCAGGATTTCCTGATCTGTGCTTTCTACAGTAAAATGAGTTCCAAACGTTTTTCCTAGCAAGCTCAGATCTCGGTTATTACATATTAGGTATATAGAGGGGATGATGCGTTGGGTCACTATAAGTAGCAACAAACTCTCACAGTTCCCCCATTCACGAATAAAAATAGTTAGCCTATGGAATGAGTTGCACGAGGAGGCTAGCCTACAAATAAGGGCATCTACTGTAGAATCCCTCACCCCTGGCGCATATTCTATGCGCAATGTCTTTAGGGACTCAAATATTGGACGGTTTTTTTTGTCCATCAGTTCCAGCCACAATTTTACTAAGAGCTTAACCGAGTTGTTCGGAGTCATTTTTACCCTCGCATGCAAAAGACACGTATTATTGTCTCTAAAAACTTTTTGGATGTCATCGACAACCCTTAAAAAGTACTTCTCGTAGTCGGCAAGGAATATAATGTCGTTCACAAAACACCTTTTCCAGTGTATAATGCACGAAGTTAGCACATAGCTATCGAAATATCTAATATATGAGGGATAGGGAAGACTCCAGTGGTTGTAGCCATAAGTCACTAGTTCATGGACTCTCGTCATTTCAACTTCTGCTTCCTTCCCATATAGACTTCTTATCCATCTTTCTTCGAACATAGACTTGGGACCATTGTCGTCTAGCTGTTTTCCTTGGAGCAGAGTCCTCATGAAATGAATATACTGGCGATTTATCCATGGACATTTTTTCTGCCGTAACAAGCTAAATGGATCATCCCACAGTATAGGGATAGCCAGGGAACACCATTCCTTGTTCACAAGTATGCAGCTATGCATGGAATTAAGATGGATAACCTTTAGCCATCGCATGATATTTAACAATACATCAGGGACTAGCATTTTCCTAAAGTATGCGGCTTAAAATAGCAAGCAATAAATTCAATTTCGGACCTAAGGCGATAAAGACAGCTTCATTTCATGTATTTGGTCACACAGCCAGTTGACGAAAAGGAATGAAGTAATCAGACACAGGTTCGACGATTGTGGGTTTCTCGCTAACACTTGACTTCAGACATTACTACCCTTAATGATGCATTCCTCAGCTTCTCTCAGAGAGAACGGTAGTAGTATGATACTTGACGCTATCGAATAGGCCACAATCATAAGCGAAGTCATTTAGCTCGAGAACCAGTAGTTTTAACTTTTAACTAGTTCCAAAGTAGTTACAGAATATTATGGAAATGTCATTCAAGAAATGTCTATGGTGAACTGATCATGAGTGTTCACTACATTCCAAAGAATGGTGTATGAAATCTCAGCCTAAATAGAAGGCCGTATAGCTGTGTTTCTCGAAACTCTATACTGAGCAACATACTACCCAGAGGGTACGGAGTAGAAATCCAAAGGAAGAACTTCTTATTTCCACAGCAGTTCATAGCACTCCATAGCATGTATGTCTACACGAGACTTACAGATTGACTCTGCGCAAAACATGTACTATATTATCGTCTTGTCTAGAGAAGTCAATAGAGAAAGTCAATAGAGAAAGTCAATAGAGAAAGTCAATAGAGAAAGTTAATAGAGAAAGTTAATAGAGAAAGTTAATAGAGAAAGTTAATAGAGAAAGTTAATAGAGAATGTAGACAGAACATTGGTCGAGCCACACATAAGTTTACGTAATAATGCATGAGCTTACATTTGTATATGAGCGTATTACAAAATAGATACAAAGTCACGCAACACTCCTCTCAACCACGCTCTTTAATTAAGGAGGTTTTACATAGTACTTTTCAGGTAGGAACACAGGTTTCTAGGAAAGTGTTATATGGATATTGAAACGTAATACTGCGCCTGAAGCAGAACCATCATAAACGAATAAGACAGATTAGTAGTAAACAAAAGTACGGCACTAAGACGGTATGCAAGGCGTTTTTATAATTGGATAATTTTTCCTGTGTAATCACGAAATCACGAAGTGAGGAGCGGTTTAGACGTTGCTAAGAGAACATGTGTGATCTTGCACGAATCACGTGATTTCTCAGACGGCCCGTCCCGGAAATTACAGAACGGACTGAACTGTAAAAATTTTAACAACCCTATGCAATGACCCCAAAGGGTACTTCCTTTGCAAAGGTCTTAGGAAATGCCTGAAGGATATTTCTTCGCAATGTGTTCCTAATATGGCTCAACCACACTCATTAATCACAACATATAAATGATTGTTATCGATAACCGATTAATGGGTACATATCTTCCCGGAGGGTTAATCCAGTTCTACGGAGTACCTGAGCGCATCCTATGGTGGTTATACTCTTGCCGCTCAACCACGCTCTGTGTTCATTTTTTTACTATTCATTTACATTATCAATTACAGTGGTGAGCATAATTATTTAGAAAAAGAAAGGAAAAATACGTAAAAAAAGGGTCTAAAATGGCTATTTCCTACATTTACCATTCCAAATAATTTTGCTCTTCGAGCAGTCTCTGATTGATCACTACCGTACGTAGATGAATAATAGACAAATGTCCACAAAAAAATCTCCACTTCCTTCGGAAGGACCTATGGGCTGATTTTTCGAGGAACGAGGGTATTTCCTAAGACCTTTGCAGATGAAGTTCTATCCGGAGGATACGGAGTAGAAACGTAGGTTTCTAGGGGAAAGCATATAACGTGATACTCTGAGCAATTGTTAGAATATCATGTGTTCTTTGACACGTGGTCTCGGTACAATGAGGCTATTCAGTCTTACCGTAATATTACACAAATAACACAAAAAAACTACCGGAGTACGAGTAAAAAAGATATCGAAAATATTATGCATATGATGAATTAGTGCGATAAATTAAGCTGTCGTCGACCAAAACAAAAAAATACATGTACGAAATATAATTGGCCATAGTGTATAACATTGCGTTTATTTATTTAAGATGAAATACAAACGAACTACGAAATATTATCATTATTGACTTTTAAGAGAATAAATAGAACCTAGAACTTTCCCATTACGTACAATGTTAATAATCTTAGGAGAGTTACCAAAACTAATTTTATCTATGTCTAAGTTAACGTTCTGAGTTTCTTTACACTTAACGAGCAGCCACTTTTCGAGTGACTTCCAATCTTTGATTTCTGTTTTTTCATTCTTGTTATCAACGAGAGTAACTACTAAAGAGCAAGATTTCGCATATACAGTCTTAATATCGTTAACTACACATCCTATGTCAACGTGCGTGCCATGATATTTTTTATTAATCCATAAACTCATCGTTAAGGAGGATGATATTTGCAGCAACAATCTGTCCCATGTAAGAACCACTTCTCTTGTCCGTGATGAGGATACTTGACTCTTTATCGTCTTTACCCTCAGCAGCTTCTTTGTCCTCTATGAAATCATATGGAAATAATTAGAAATGAGCAATAATAAATCTGTGAAGAAAATCTAGTACGACGACTAGCTCCTACCATTAACTCCAACTCGCAGTTCGTTCAATTTCCTAGTTAAGTTCTCAATTTTTAAGGTTGGCGAATCAATTATAACATGAATAAAGTCATTAGAAGGCTGTTCATTCCAATAATCGCTAATAATCCCTCAAAGGTTTTTTATGCTCTCTTTTTCGTCATTTTTTAGGACTAGTTTCGAAAATTTCTCCTGGTTGTTAACGGGAATATTAACTTTCCAAAGTTTCATGTCATAAGCCTCAATATTTGTAAACGTATCGTCTTTTTTTTCTTTGAGTTTCGCAAAAATTTTGTCTTTGAGTTTGTTGATTCTATCACTAGTACAAACATCTACTGTAAACGCTTCCGAGTTTACCTCTATTTCATGATGGAGGCGGCAAGTGAGCGTAATAGTAACCATGACTCTGTAAAAGTTACCCATAATTAATTGAACGATGTATTTATATTCAGGTGGAAACTTGTTACGCCCAAATTCATGCGGAGATAATCACTGGTGGGCAAAGCCCAGGATTTTCCCACGACTAATCATTTATGTCAAAGTATGTTGCCGATTATTCTGCTAATACAGCAGCATCCTACTCCATGAATTGCCAAGTGATTGGCGATCTAAGTTAAAAAAGGGAAAAATGTCGACTCTCCAATGTAACAAGGTATATGAATTGTGTATTGTTGTACGTGATTAAGGTGCGCAGATTTTTATTATAAATCAATATTACTATAGGTTAGACGATTACAAGTCAGAGTTTAATCACGTGATCTCGATCAAAAGTAATCAACGGAAATAATAATATACAAAAATGTTCGACAATAAGACCGTGACCTAAGACCACAGTTGTCTTGTTTTACTTTCTGTTTTTGTTTTTGTTCTTGTAATTATGATTAATCATCACTGAAAAAAGAAGTTCATGAGAGAAAAGTTCAACGGTCAATCATATTTTAAGGACAAACAAACTGAAGATGTTTCACTGCTGATCATCCATTAACACAATCAAGGGGATTATGTCGATCATTTTGTTCTAATACAAATCGAGAAGTTAAGCCGAGATTTTCATGTTTCTATTACAAATGAAGAGAATAAAGCCGAAGGGCATATGTTTTCCCGTTACAAATGGGAAGAAGTTGATGCTGAATCTAACTACTATTCGTTGGTTCCTTTACACAAATGAGAAGTTATTTTTGATTACTTATGGGACGGAACTGAATATTGAAATGGTTTTTTCGCTGTCCATATTACTACGACCAAATAATTTACCTAAGGGTGCTATTCCGGAGGAACTCTAAAGAGAAGGATAAAGTAATATGTACCATTAATTTATGTACAAAGAAAGTCATTCTCGTCTGAAATTAAGTGATGACAGTGACAGACTAATTTCACTTCGTGGGAAAGCACAGGTGTGTTATGATTACCATATGGCATAATTGGCGGTAAGACGTTCAGTTGGGAGAAAGTTATTGTAGTGCGAAACAAGATTCTGTTAGGTAGTATGGCCGAGTAATTCAACCCAACAACAACATTTTAATAACAGTTATGCACACATTTTTTGGAAAAACACTAGACGAAGCCTACTAAGTAGATGTTCAGTACCAGAGGAATTAGGGTCGTCGCAAACACCAGATATAAGAACAGATGTATAATTTTCTTGCCGGTATTCACCATAGGATTAGAGAAAGCGTGAAGGATTGAAGGCAAAACAGATAGGTCAGGAACTGTCTTCATAGTATCATTGTCGAAGAAGGCATTATATGGTCTCTCCATGGACGGAATATGGCATCCTTATAGAACTACAGTATAATGTGCACTTATGCTTGCCACTAAGACGAACAGGTAAACTACTTCGTTATGTGACACGTATGAATTGTGCCAATAGAATGTTAGCACATCCCCCTCACAATAATTTACTTCTCTCCTGAATTTAATGACAGGGTCAGTATTTCTGGGTCGTTCTGTGAAAAATGAATATTATATTAGTATACATAATCACATCAGTCGGAGACTGCTCAAAAAGCAAAATTCAACAACTTCCATCATGAGAACCCTTGTTATTGATGCGAATAGCGTAAGGTACCTCAAAACAATCTCAAAGAATACAGCCGCTTCTGCTACAATCGACTCTCTGTTAAGGGATATTGTCAACAGTAAAGAATATGTCGAAAATTTCCAAAAGAAGTATCAGTTTGTTAAGTTAACGTCATTGTTCCTAGAAATTACGGAACTCTTATATGTGTACAATGAAAAGTCATCCTACACGTACAAAGAAGTGTACAAGTTTGACCAAAATATTCATTCTTGTATAAAAACATTTACGGGAAAGGGTAAAAAGGATAAAAAGGATAAAAAGGTTTCGTGGGAAAAAAATGTCAAGCAGGTTTTGAACGACGAGAATATTTTCGAAGAATATGAATTATATAGAATGAACGCCATTAGGATGAAATGTTTCGTAAGCAAAATGTTAGTCGAAGAATATGAAAATCAATGCTATGAAAATCAATGCTATGCGGTTGATGATAACAATGTGGAAAATATAGCATTTGTGTTAATTGCCACAATTGACTCGATAATGAACGATGTAGATCTAGATGAAATCACACAAGAACTGAAGTTATAGTACTCGTTATTTCTAAGTGTGTTATTACTCGAAATTATTTTAGTTATTATTGCGTTTATTACTTTTTTTGTACTATCCACGATCACAAAAGCAAACATAATAACAAACAATATACACTACTCGATAAAAGAACCAATTACTACATTTTTCAGTTTATTCTTAGTTATAATGTCATCGGTATTTGTCATACATTCGCTTTATGTAAAACGTTCGCTTCATGTAAAACATTCGCTTTATGTAATCATTGGTTTAAGTAAGAAAAATAAATAAAATGTCTGTTTCTATCAGTCTTAGGAACACATCCTATTGTAACTGTCGCCATTAATAAACTCAGTAGTGTGCACAATTTTTTGGGCAGAGCCCAGTTCCACTGGAAAAAAGAGGGGCTTGGCGTAGCCTTTCGAAGAAATAGCCTGAGCGCACCCTGCGGGTGGTTCTACTCTTGCCCTAGTCTTTAGACCTTCCTTCGGAAGTGAACCTAGGTTCCTTGGCTGGGCGAAGCCCACGCTCCGTTCATAGGGGGATACCTGAAGGACAAACATTATCAATTACGTAGATGATCAATACCAGAGGGTACGCATTAGGCATACGTATACAAAAAGTTTTAGTCTATGTGACCTTCGAAGAAGCACTGGTTAACAACAGTTGTCATACATTACTAGTAACGGTTGTTTCATAATGATGTCCACATATGTTTCTACAATAAACTAAATATTTGTTAGTGGCTTTTTCTCCTGACTGATTAAATGGTAACTATATTTTGTATGTGCATTTTCGGGCTTTTTTGGGTGTTTCCTAAATACTAATGTTTTTAAAATTGAAGTCAGGAACCTTTTTATAAATCAATGGACGATTTTACATTACTTTTAGTGAAATTAAAGGATTTGATCGGCTTATCGACTGGCAATGGGAGTCCCAAGAGTAATACCTCTTCGAATAACTTTTCATTGCCAAATTCTGACGAGTTCAGTGAGGTGGTTCAACGGTTGACGTTACTGTTGGCTAGAGAACCACGATTATGTGAGCAAATATGGAAATCAATAACTGAAAAAAAGAACGTACTTTCCGCTAGTGACAAAAAATCCAATGAAACGAAAGGACGGGATAGTTTTAAGATGTTGACAGAGATGGTAGTACACATTTGCTTCACAGCAAACAACATGTTACCTGATGAAGTAGAGTTCACGAATACCGATGCGCTGATGGAAGTCACCCTACTACGAGATACAAGTGAACAACTTGGCAAAACTTTGTTGACATGGACGGAAAATAACAAAAGGGAATATATAGAAGAACTTAAATGCGAACCCCTTATCAAAATCATCAGCTCCCAGATAAACAAACCCATCTATGATTCATCAAAATTATCACTGAAGAATAGATTAACGCAACTGACAGAGGTTATCCAACAGATCCACCATCATTGTATGCTACATGAAATATTAGTCGACAACGCTAAAAAAAAGGTATGAATTCCCTACTTTATAATAGTGTAGTAATAAACAGGGTCGTGCTGTAAAATGCTGCTGGCGCAAATGGAAAAAGAAATGGCGTATTTGTCATTACCAGGACTACACCTCCTTATCCCAGAGGGTAAATAACTTTTCCGCTTCTCTGTGTTTTTTATTCTTAGAATTAACATGTGCTACTCGTCGAGAAAATATCAGCGTACACAGGACTTATGATAATAAAGATGGTATCGTTATCAGCCTCCTTTTGTTCCAACCTAGTATCCTTTTTATGAGAACATGTTCGAGTGCAACTGTTCATTTTTAAGAATCTCGTTAAATTACTTGTTTTAGTCCAACTGCAATAACCGGTTAATAAACGAATATAAGCCAGATCATAATCTTGGATTGTCTGTTCAGTGAAACTGATTATACATACAGTACGAATCCATAAGACTTTCGAATCCTACTAACATGCGTAGTAACGGATATGTGACTTCAGGTGGAAGCCCCACATACAATTTTTTCGCTTAGCCCAGAACCCTTACCACTCCATTGCGCCTTGTTCATAACGTATAATTTTTGTTATCGACAGAAAATATTTTATGACGACGATTACATTTTTTCTAGAACGTAGCCCTAGTCATTCCAGTTCTACATTAGGAATACATTTGCTAAGACCTTTGCGTGGTTGAGCTGCAAGATGCTCAGGTAGATAGAATTCCTTCGGGATTCGCTTCACGAAATAGTAAGATGTCGTAGGGAGCTATGCTCCAATTAGTTGAGCAGCAAGATTCTTATACTGTATATGACTTATGTTCTTACGCTGTAGCGCCTTCAGGAATAATAGTGCTCACATTTTTTACGAAACCAGCATATATGAAAATTCGTTAATCATGAACGCAGAAAATCCTGAAAGGAGATATAGTGTGCATGATTTTATGAACGGAGTAAAAGATTTTTAGCCTGTTCCACAGGGAAAGGAGAATATTTCGCATACGATCTGTCTCTACAGTAAGAAACTTGTGTATTACTATGGGCTTTGCCCAGGCTATGCCTGTATGCAAGCGAAATGAGAATTTTTATACAGAAGCAAAGCCCAAAAATCAGTCTACGGATAGACCTTCTAAACTGTTCAAGGAGCACCTCTGTTAACAGCGTGGTTGAGCGGCAAGACGGTCATTCAATTACGTAGATGAATAATAGACAAAGGCATACATTCAGAGACTGGGCTACGCCCAAAAAAAATCTTTAGTCTATTAGGACCTTCAAAGAAGTGATTTTTCGAGGAACGAGAGACGAGAGGCATCGGCGTAGCCTTTCGTAGAAATTGCCCATTCCAGTCCATTTATGGACCTTCCGAAGGAAGTGAAATTAGTCTATGGACCTTCCTTCGGAAGTAAAGGGTAGGACTTCCTCTCGAATTAGTCCGTAGGACCTTCGAAGAAGTAAAACAATTGGTTTTATGGGAAGTGAGTCGAAGAGATGGGAGAAAAACAGTCTGCATAAAAAAACATGATCTTGTGAAATTTTTTATCCAGTTTGGAAACATCGTATGAAGTCATCAAAGTTTAACGTTTCAGAGTTATAGTATTCACCAATCTGTTTGATATTACCTTCTACGGGTGTCTTTTGCTTCAACGGAAGACGAACCAGTCGTATTGGTTATAAGCAAAGCTCTCATTTGCTCGTACAGTAAATCGGTATCGTTTACTAGTGTTAACTAGCGAGGACAGGCTTTTAACTAGTGTCGCCAACAAGTATGCATCTTTATGCTTTAGCCGAATTCAGGGTTCGGAACAGGATATACTACATCGTCTATGGTTACTGCCCTATCATCGTTTGTCAAACTACTGGTCACTTTAATGCTTACCTTGGATTTAGAAGAGAAATCGACAGGTTCGAGTTGCTCTCCTATAATACAGGCGATTGTGTTTAGTTCTACGTCTGTGTCAGAACTCTTTTTGGTGCTTTGGGTACTTACTTGGTTAGGAGAATTATTTGGCGCCGAGTTGTCGTTCTCATCGTCCTCCACGTTATCTAATACATCCTCTGGTTTGACTTCAGTGGGTGTAACATTCCAGAGGTCGAACGTGTCCAAGTTTTCCCTGTCGATGGTCGAGCTGAGAGAGAGATAGGCCCAGAAGACTTGGTGGTGTCTGACATTGCTTTTCGTTCGTCGTACGACTATAACCCGTTCTACGAATTCTAGACCATGCAACATGGTCGCTGCTTTGTATGTAGTATGTTTCCTGGAATCCGTGAAGTCGTATTTTAGTACTATCTCATCAGTAGCTTGGAAGTCCGTGAAAGCTTTTTTATCAGTGTGCTGCGTACTATTTGTTCCTCTGGGGTCGGTTACTGAAGAGGCTGAACTATTTTGTCCTGAAGAGGCTGAACTATTTTGTCTCGGAGAGTTGGCACTATTCTGGTAGGGGCATTTTGTTTCCGATGAGTTCGGATCGTTTGTTTTCTCGGTCTGCGTTTTATCTGAATTTCCCATTAAGTCATGTATCGCATCCCCAAAAAGACTATCTTTCGTAGTCTGGTGTTTTTTGGGGGTTAGAGACGGATTTATTTTTTTCGTCAGTGTTTGGTGGACCATCACATTCCGGCTCCATCGCTGACGGATTGGATGTGTTATCGTTTTTTACATTTTTTTTCGGGGCGCTTTGTTGGACAATTCCGGGCATGTACTTATCTAGCAAAGGATTGTGGCATGTGTTCAATTGTCTATCAAAAATTTTTTTGTCCTCCCCTGCTTTTGGAACCTATTTATAACAGGTAGCCTTATTTTGTTGGGAGCGGCCGAGGAAAAAAAAATAATTAGGTCAGATGTCCGTGGAGAGTGTAAATCGACACTTTCTTCTAGTTCAACAGAACTGTTACCAAAATATAGTTACCGAGAAACTGCTAGGAACACGATGTGAAATGAAATTGACCACAGGTAATTCAAGTGAGCAATTTTTAGCCTATCGATTTGATAGAATACGCAGTGTGCTGTCGAGTCCAAGGAGGATCAAAACAGACTGTCGACAACACTAAATACGCAAACTTTATGTCTGTGGAGAGCTCGTAGCAGATGTATGAAAAAGTATAGCTATATATTTGTTAACTAGCATATTCCCTTAATATATTGAGCATACTTATGTCTTGATCTACGTAGTATGTAATGTCTATCACTTGTATTAGTTAAAGTGCCTCAATGCGCACATGATATAGGACCCTTGGGTATCGATGTCACGTGTCGAAACCTTGTATTCACCGCAGCACAATAAACGATCCAACGATCCCATAAAGAAAAAAATACTCAACTATGGTCTGTGACCTAAGAGTCACGGCTGCCTTGTTTCACAATTTAGCATTCGCTGCTACGCATGTCCATGTGGTACAAGCAATTTGATTTGTCACGTGCTCACATATTTATTTCAGCCTATCCAACTACGAGACTGTGGACTTTGCCCAGTTTCACTGACACATGGGCCACGGTCGCCTTGCTTCACTACAATTTAGCACACACTGCTGCGCATGCCCATAGGGTACAAACGCTTTGATTTTGTTACTGCTATACTATTCTGGAACTTCCAGGTGATAATTATAAATGTAAAACCGAGTTAAAAAATACACTGTTACCACAAATAAAAACATCTGGCCATGGAGTTTTAAGAGTGACATATTAGAGTAGATGTTTTCAGCGTCTTAGCATATAACGTAACAGTAAGGATGGTAGTGAAAACTGTTGTAGTTGCATCTTGTGTATGCTAACGATAATCACACTTCTGTGTCCGAACGTATTGTCATTCATCGTCCATAACTATACCGAAGACAAAGTTACAAACTAATGGTCTACGTGGAAATAGAATCTGTCTTAAACAAAAATAAGTGATTCCTCTCTTCGATGTGTAAAAAACGAAATCCGAAAACGCCCAACACTAATATAAGTTTACTTCGTAGGCCTGCCTAGTAAAAAAAGTTTACACATTTTTTAAGCTCTGCTCAGTCCTGGGACTTATCTACGAAGTGAAATAATAATTTCCTGTATGCATCTTTTTAAGGTATCCGCTTAGTAGTTTTTATGTCGAAAAAAATTATAACACATTTAAAAAAAGAAAAATCCTTAGTATGAAATCAAGTTGCGCAACGTGTCCACTGGACTGATTTCATCATATTCGTTGTTTCCTGTCATAGATGTTTTGTCTGGTCGCTCAAAGATGGGGTTTACCACATCGGACTTGAGGAACTCAAGGCAGTATAACTGGTTGGGGTAGATGGGTATATCACACCTAGTTATTACTGTAAGGATCGGACTATTTCAGGAACAATAGTTATAGATTTTTAGTTGAACATTTTAGTTGAACATTTTGGTTATACAATTTTAGTGATACATTTCGTTGCTTGAAATCCCACTTCCTTTGGAAGGTCTAAAGACTATTTTGGTCAATCCTATAACTGTTATGCCGGTCACTTACAGTTTGGTATTGACTAAGTTAGTCTTTAAACCTTCCTTCGGAAGTGGTTAGCTTCTTAGCAAAGGCGCCTTGTTAAGAAGCTAATATGTATCAATATTATATAAATAGATTTTACGATAGTTTTTACTTAGGTATTTTTGTGAGAAACAGGGAATAATTTTTTTTGTCTCTTGTGTTATTGATCGACTATGGCTATGATCATTATATCAGATATACCATGTTTTGTCCATATAGATTTCAAGGGATAGTTTAACAATTACAATGCCGAAAAATAATTTGTACCACATATTACCATGTGATGGAATCTACGTATGAACAAGTTATGTGTGACCCTTGGGTCACGGTCTCGTAGTTCGAATATTTTTCTTCTGATATATTTACTACATGTTACTGCACATTTATTTGATCTCGTTACAATAAACAATAAATTAGCATTCATGTTCGCTTCACTTCCCACAATCCCATAGCCCACTCCATTATGTATCTGAATTCGGTAAAGTAATTGTGCTTACTTTATTGGTCGTACGTGATAAAATAGGTCAGAACACTGGATGAATGAAAAATAATATAATTGTATTCAAAAATATTACGTTGCATAGCCTGGCAAGAATTTTATCGGATATCCAATCTCACATGACGTTTTTTATTATAATGAAGCATGCACTACCATATCGAGATGTATACCTCCTAGTATGTAGTATGCTAATGACGGTGAGCTACTAAACACGATTATTTGACCTACTCTTTGGTAAGCTGCCATAATATATATTTCCAACTGAGAATCGTCTTAGCTGATCGCTTCCTAGAGCATTCGAAAGTAAATACACATTTTTTTGAGACTTTATTCTTATCATAATTCTTAACAGCAAGAAGTATCACTTACGTCTAATTTTTCAAAAGGAGCTACAATGGGATGAGAGGATTTTCGTAATCAATATAAGCCCATCCTTCCGTTACTCTTAAACTAGTAATGACTTTGGTAACATTACTAGTTTTGTATTTAACTTTGCCTTCATGGATAATTTTACCCTATGCGAGTTGCAATCTCGTATTCCCTGTTCAACGTACTGATAAAGAATATTACATACTAACATAATTTCTCAGTCTGCGAAGAAATGCAGGAACTTACCATAAAATCTTGGTAGTTTCTTTATTGCATCTAGTGTATCAGAAAGCTGAGTAAAAAATTCTGTATCTTCCTTGACATCATGCTCTCCTAAAAAATATAGATTTGAATCTGTATCACACCCAAAGAAAATATCTCAAGTTCTAAATAAATACTAACCTTGATTGAGGGAGAGGGAAGCTAAGGTCAGAATAATGGAATTAGCTAATATTGAAAAAGAACGCAAAATGAAATTAACTAATTAGTTTATAAAATAGAATGTACATGAAATATTTTTTAGGCGGAGCCTACGAAGTAAATTGAAAAATTTTTTGCTAAGTAATAAAATTTTATATTGCGTACTCCACATATTTAAAAGGGTAATATACGTACTATTGTGTACAGTGTATTATTAGTGTAACGTACTCAACACCATTTTTAGCACCGTACTCCACTCAACATTCCTACCGGACTCCACAACAATTCGTCTCACCTATATAAAAAATACCGGACTGCCTCACCGGACTGGACTCAATAACGAATAACCCCGATTGTTGCAACATTATGCTCAATTTCACGAATAAGTATTGCGCAACACTATGAATAATTTCGGTAACTATAGGAAAGGCAAAAGGAGATAATAGCAACGATAAGAATTAGTGGTAACGATAAAAATAACAAGTAACTGTAGTACAATAAAAATGATGGAAACGATAAGTGAATGTAGTAACGAAATGACCGCATCATCGTAGACCATCCAGAGGCACGTATTGCGTTACGTTAATGCATTGTATTATTAATCATTACACAGGTGAGACTAATAGTTGTGGAGTACAGTGATATTTGGCGGTGTGTAACATAAAGGGTGTGAAGTGTACTCAGGTGATGAATAGTATCTCGGCCCACTCTGAATCACGTGTTTGGCCCATCGTGTTATTTATCACTTGAGTAAATTGTCACATAGGGGACCGTATTCCACTCATCATCCCCACCGGACTCCACAACTTTCCGTATCACTCTCATTACACTAACCATCACACTAACCACTACACTACATTATTTCTTGTAGCACAATGAGCGGACAGAAATGCTTACCGTATTTTCTTTTATCGGCCATTGGTTATTCATTTGTTACCACCGGGATAAGAATCCACGCACTCATTTTTGTAATTGACAAATAACAACTATCACAGAATAACGTATATATAGACATAAACGGTAAGATGATACGTAACAGGAATTCAACGACATAAAGGCATCGAAGTCATGTGATTTGGCTCCAAAAAATTACTTCGTAGCACAGCCTAGTTGCTGGAAACAGGAGACACATACGGTCTCGCTGGTACCTTTATAAGTATAGTTAGTAACCAATTGACTCAGAGACAATAAGGTATGTAATTAAACAGTGATGACTAAGCCGCTTCCCATTTTTCGTATTTTCCTGGCAAAATGAGTTGCGATCAACGTTATTCAGTGAAACATCTATTCTGAAGAAACTCTTAAGCTACTAGTTCATATGCGAGGTAAGGAAGTTAGACTGTCAAACAGGTTCTATGGTCTACGTCAAGAATGCGCAGCATTTTTTATAACGCAAGGTTGTGTGATGTATGACAATAAACCATGTGAAGGTGTGGCATGTGACCACTTCTGTAGTACGATCTATTCGAAAATACTCAACTACAAGACTGTGACCCACGGGTCACGATTGCCTTACTGAGTCTCCTACGGTTTAACGTGTACTGCTACGCATATCATGGGTATAACAAGAATTATACGATAGTTGTTAGTGTTCACTTATGCAGTACAGACTGCGGAGAAAAAAATAAGTGGACAGCAGGAACAACACGTGACATTCTGAACAAATGTGTAGAGTATCACGTGGGCTTCAATGTTATCATCCGCAGTAGTTACTTGAAATGTATTCTTTGCTAGAACGACTTCATTCACTAACAATTATGACCTGATGGATATGGAGCACAATATGTTTACGGTCGTTTTTTCACCTAGATTCTTCTTCGTACCAATAGGTAGATGTGTTGTTGAGGAAAATATTTGAATATAGTCGAATGACACTTTTCACATATTGTCATACGCATTAAAACTTCTTCCGTACATATGAAAAGGATGCGGAACATATTACTTTTCATGAATGAAGTTATAATAGATCCTGCACAACTAGCATGTTCAAATATAATGCGATTGTTATCAATTAAGATAAGTCATAACCTGCATTTCTCTTGTGAATCTTGTGTTTGCGTGGTGACATGTGCCCTTTGGGCAGTCTCTGACTGATGAAATTTTGATTATAGAAGGAATAAGAATATAACTAATCGATTAACCTTTATTTTGTTAACGGCTGTTCGTGACAAATACTAACTTTTGGTAACTGTCATTCGAGAAATGTTCATAAAGATTGTCATTAGCTATGTTCTTTATTTTTCGGTTACAAGTAACACCATCTACAAAAAATGAGTGTTACTTCCTGTCTTGTGCAGATCAACTATGACACACACGAACATTTTGGAATTAATGACATGATTATCAACGTCTTTAACCAGGACTAGGGAGCATAGACATAATATTTTGTGATTGCGTTGCTAACAGTTGTCGATACGTTGTACTGTGTTACTGACGATTGTTTCAATGTATTATCTTTAGAGCAATGTTCGCATATCTCTTGGTAATGATGTTTAATAATGTCTACATATTTTCTGCAATGTTGTTTACGATTTTGTAACTATGAAGTATATGTTTGTTGGCATGGCTTTCTGAAATACTGTAATAATGAGTGCAAATAACATGTTAAAACCTTTGATAGGAAAATCTTACAATATACTTCAGGGTCATATAGTAACGATTGTATCACAGGTAGCATATTACGAAATATCAACGAATAAACAATAACAGCTAACTACTAGATCAACTATTAAGACCTTATTTACTCGTGTATTTCTATTGACAAAAAAAAATTCATTCCGCTGTTGCTCGCAAAAATACCCAGGTATAGTTCACAGAATTTTCACTAATAAAATTATTATAGTGTATAATCTATATACACAAAAGCTTCATAGCAGGCGCCTTTGCTAAAAGTTTTTCATAACCTAGCTAATACTAAACAGTAAGTGACCGGTATACTTTGCAGAAACCCTATCAATATAAAAAATATATTAGAGATATTTTTAAAATATAACAGACATATTCCATGAAATTAGTTTTTAGACCTTCCTTCGGAAGTGAAGGCAAAACATCTATGACAAGAATCATCAGTCGGAGACTGCCCAAAGGGTAAATGCACGAGAAGAAATCAGTTCCAAATGGAACACGTTGCGCAACTTGATTTCATACTAAGAATTTTCTTTGTTTTTTTACACTGTATTTTTGGGATGACCAGACATTTGCATTCTTAAAAGTTTTTCAGGTGTAACATTATGCGAACTAACTAATGCGTGAATCGTGACAAAAGATAATATTCAAGTAAAAATGCGAGGAGGTTTGTACAAAACAAATGCACTTTATTGGTAGCGAATGAATCGCATATTAAAGTGTTTTATTAGTTGTTATCAAAATATGCAAATAGTATTTTGAATCACATTTATTTGCGTAGACTTTGCCACTATATTTCTTCACTTCGCTCCTCTGCTTCTTTGAAGGTCTTTCTATGGACCAATTTCTTTCGTGCCTTACATCCTATGAACTAGCGAAGCCACCAAAGGTGTGTTCCTAGAACCTCCCAATGACTAATGAGTGTGGTTGGTCGGCAAGCCAGTCATACTATAGATGATTAATAGACAAATTAATATACGAAAATAATTTCCAGATCATGAAATGGGACCTTCAAAGAAATGAAGTGTGGATTCTAGTCATAGTTAAACATTCTCAGAATAGATTGTACTACATAGGAAATGCGCAGCAGTACATGCTAAACTGTAGATTCATAACAGTACACGCCAATCTGTAGAACAATGTAATGAAGTAAGACAATTGTGACCCATAGGCCACGGTCAGCATTTTCAAGAACGATTTACTACACAGTGAATGCGCAGCAGAACATGCCAACAGCATTATATGCTAAACTGTAGAATATTGTAATGAAGTAAGGCAATCGTGACCCATAGGGCAGTCTCGTAGTTCAGCATATTCGGAATAGATTATAACCATAGGGAATGCAAAGCAGTACATGCTAAACTTTAGAACTATATACACTAAACTGTAGAATAAGAAATCGTGACCGTAGGATACAATAGTGTTGTATTTCAATTTTTGAGACCCGTAATATTTTATTCTTGTAAAAAGTAACCTTTATCGCATCATTTCCTAGAATAACGAATCCATAGACTTCTTTTATCATTTCAGGTCCAGATTAACACTGCACAATTTATTGGCGGAATTCTATTTTTCCATTTAAGTGATAAAGCCCTAATTTTCTCACACTGGCGATACTGTTATCGTCAAATAACATAGTCGGTTCATTGTTTAGTAAAAGAGCATAACGCATGTGTCTTTTTCCTTCTGCTAAAAATTTCAATGACCGGAAGTCGCTCAAAGTCACGTGATGAAAATTCAGTCGGAGACTACCCAAAGGAGTCTCTCCCGAAGGGAGGAATAATGCGGTCACGTGACTAAATTTCGACCGGGGGGCCATGCCAAAATGAAACTCCCCTCAGAGAGGAGTTTCATATATTATGTTAACATAATAGGTGGATGACTGCGTTTCAGAATATAAGTGGACAACAGAGGGGATAACGTAGACATGGAGCGCAATTTCGATAAAAGTCACGTGATAAAATTATGTGAATAAAATTGTGAATAAAATTATTTCACGATTATATAATGCACAAGGACATATAGTTGCTAAATAACTGAAACCTTTGTCAGCATTGTTATTAAAAGCATGGTAGGTGACATCTTACCAAACGGCAACGCTAGGTAGCGAGGAGTACGAATACTTATAACATTTTCTCATCATTGTTAGTGGGACAATAATCCGAAACAACTAATCCGCCGAAAAACACTACAGAGAATATACCCTTACTAGTGATCACACAATGGCAAATATTGTGCGACCCTCGATTACACGGAATTACATGGTCATGTATGTATTATAAGTCAATACGATTGAGATTTTCACAGCGGACAGTTCTTTAGAAAAACAACTATTTCACACGACTATGATTGTATGTGCCTGTGTTGTTAACGAAGGTTACCCGAGTTTTTTGGTGGCCAGTTTCTTTGCAGATGCCTTATAGCATTTTCACTTTCCCTCTAAAGAGCAAATTTGGATTGCTACCAGGCATTATAGTGTTAAGCCATCAATGACTACCTTCGTAAAAGGTTTTCTTTACATATTCCTTGTTATTATCATCTGGTTATAATGCGTAAACGCTGTTCTGTCTATTGCCTGAGAGACTTGCAGCTCAATCACGCTTTTTATCCATTTTTAACTCTTCTTTCACAAAATCCATCACGTAGGTGAATATTGGATAAAACGAATACAAGAAAAAATCTCCAGTCCATGAAATAGACAGCTCTCCAGGCTAAAGCCTCTTCCAAGAGAAGTGAGCTCTGCTCAGTTTCACTAATTTTCCTTGTACGTTTAGCATGAGTGCCTGCAGCTTAACCGCACTTCTTTATCTATTTTTTAACTCTCTTTACACAAAATAGTACTGTAGTCTATTACTGTAGATGATAATAGACAAAACATCATACACACTTCTCTTAAGAGTTTCTCCAGAATAGCGCTTTCAGGGATTATTATGTGGACATAGTTAATGTATTTCATATACGTCCATATCTTGTAAAATGAGGACATTATTCTCTACTTCATACTCTCTGTACTTCGTACATAATCTCTCCAGTTATACGTTACGACTAAAGAGCGTGGTTTATTCGGCAAGACGATCAAGATAAAGCCCAGTTTTACTGGAATAATGAATACGAGAAATTTGCTATTTTTTCTCTTTTCCCCTGTAAAACAACAGCACCACTGTATAATTTGTTTCATTGTCCTATTTCTTGCTTCTAACATGCAAAAACATTTGGAATATTCGTTTTCATTTCTGTTTACAAAAATATGTTCCATATGAAATCTGTTTTCGAGTAACATGTTTTATTGTATCATTCTATTGTGAAAACACTAGTCTTAAGTCCTAGTACGTATGCTGTTCTTATCTCTCATGATTGAGCCCATTTTTTGCTGCTGTTTCTTTTGCGGTAGAGTTTGGCTGAGATTGGTTAGCGTTTCCAAAATTGAACACAATAATTTCTTTACTAGCTAGAAGTACAAATATCATGACGAAAATGGAAGTAGAGACTCTGAGGGGGAGAAACAGAAAAGCAGCTGCTCGTTATAGAGCAAAGAACAAAGAAAAGATGACCAAAATTACAATTAACCTTCATTCTCTTAAAGAGACCCATAATTGCTTAAAACAAGAGGTCAGTAACTTGCAAAATGAAGTTATTCGGTTAAAGGAAGCATTCTTGTCCGAATCTGATCTTTGCACTCCTGGCACTTGTCAACATTATCAAGATTTTATTAACCTATATTTGCCACGAATTTATGATACAGGTTCGTTGAGTGTTGAAGACCACGCAGAAAACAATGGAATCCATTCATGCAGCGATCACATTCCTAATCCATAATGTTTGCATAATCACATTATATTTTTAGGCAGAGCCCAGTTCCACTGAATATATGCATTTTCGAAGAGAGAGATTATGCGTCAACGAAAAGTCTAGCGAAGTGGGTTAGCAGACGAAATTATGTAGATGGACATGTGACAACCGCCCAACTGCATGGTACTATAGTAGACACAAAAAATTGTCTGTGTGAATGACAACAGTGTAGTCTTCTGAGCAATTTTTTTTAGAAGACTAGTAAATAAAATCACGTGAAGTGTTATGAAAAAACGAAGCCAACTGCAATGAAGAATATAATTTGACAATACGGGTGATAACGTGAGCAACAGATATGCAGTATTTTATTGGACATAGACTGCGGAAAGAATATGAGTGGACAACATGGAGAACAATAAAATACCAACATCAATTCAAAAATTATTTCGTAACCAGTGCTGTTGTGGTACAGAATTTTTTCGTATACATAATCTACTTATTTATCTGGTAACACTTTACTAAGGGTTAGTAACCCTGGTGTAGTTGTCAAGACATATCCTTTGTGAGGCCTATTAATATGGAAAGGATGCGGGGTCGAATTCTGCAGGCTACAGAAATGAAAGAGAATACCACTGCGTGTGCGGTACCCTCCTGGTGTTAAACTATCTCTCGTGATTTATTATTGCCATCCATGTGTTATAACCCATACCTTTGATGTCACCTGGATGGGCATAACATGCGTACAAAATGTCAACATTAATAATCATGTGAGGAGACCGTGAACTCATTCACAAACCCTTCACGTGTCGCTACGCCAAGATGAATACATACTGGTATGCATAAAGCAAATATATCAAATACTTATTGGAACTCGAACACCTCAATATCGAGACTATGACATGCGTTCACTGATGGCATTCAAAAAATTGTTCCGCCGCAACCCTATGGTAGTATAACGAGACTGGGAGTCCAAGTGATACAACCCACACTACTTGAAACACTAGCAAGTGCTGCGCCTAATGGTAATATACAATCAGTAAATTTGAATACATTTCGAAAACACTTTCAATTTGGAATTTGTAAATGCACCGGACATGACAATCCTAGATATAAAGAGCAAAAGTAGAAAACCGAGGCATGTATAATTAGTCTTCATGGACAAAAATTACGTGACTAGTTTTGGCCGGCACTATTCCATAAATGTACCATCTTATACGTAGTTAAAACTAACGTTATCGAAACACGATAGTTATATGGAATACTCAAACATTACAATCGTTTACTTATAAACTGTATACATATGCTATATAAAATGATAATGTATCCACTTGTTTGCTGGTAGGGAGGGGTATAATTAATAAATTGAAACAACATTACGAGAGGAAATACTATGCGAGTTTTAGTTCTTCCTGCCAAAATTTCCTCTCCGGTCTCGTATGTGCCCATCGGGGACACGAGGCCGATAGAACAACACAATGACTATCAAAGGCACTATAACAAGATATTGCGCACGAATAGCACCATAACTATTAGGTTTTCTACAGAGTACCTACTAGTATGTTCGTATTGTTTGAACCAGGACACTCCAGTAAACGAGTATCTGTTACATGCCGGAATCTTTTGTCCACAGTATGGGACTGTGATAATTAGACACATAACAGATGGGACGGATGTCCCAGAATATTTGCACTACAGTCTACAGGATTTGGTTAAAAGCTATAATGTGATGTACAGTGCGGGGTTAGTAAGGAGTGGTTACCTGAGTGAAGACAAAATAAGTAACAGGTTGCAACGATAGCAACTACTATTCATGGGGTACAAGGGAAGTTGCATGAACTAACTGGAGTCGTTGGTGCCGAGAATCAGAAAAAACATGACGTTCTGCACTCGTTAACGCTGTTGTTTACTTCTGTCATAGACTTACAGAGAACATGTAAGGACGTTCTCGAAGGAACAGATAGGAGCAAAGGTTTAGTACAGATTCTGAATTCTTTAGTACAAAAAAATGCAGAAAGAGCATCTTTACTGTAGAGTACAAATTGTTGTAGTAGACGGGTGATCCATTTTTTTAGTCCAGAGATTGATACATCACTCATCTACTCAAAGTAATAAAGAACACGTGGCAATATTTTCATTAATACATAATAAATTTGAACAAGCATTCTAGTGAATATTTTGTATTACGCCATTAACAGTGTCTAATGTTCAGAACTTCTCGATAAATTTTGTTACAAGACAGTTTATGTTTCAGGTAGCTATATGTTCCACTAGTTTTCGTTATGACAATTTTCTTGAACGTTGTTCCGTAGGCTTCCAGTATAAATAACATTACGCCACAGTAAAATTTTCTTAGTAACGATGGGCACAAATTTTCATTACAAACCTGGGGCATTGCGCTTCACGCATTGTGACATACATTTGTTACAGTACAATAATAACGAGGAATCAGTATATTACACATGGTAATGATCTGATCATCGGGATGATTAAGTCGACATAATCAATACAGTTAAGTGGCGGACTACCCTTAAACATATTCATTTTATCTGTATTCGTCTATAATAGCCATAAGTCGTGATTGCATGGTAACCGTTAAACATATGAAACTGAGTGAATCATCGTTACCAAAAAATGTAACGTCACTCTTTAAGTTATGACCGCATTTTATCATGGATGGGTCTGAGAAAAAACGCATGACGGAAATTTCGCTGACGGGCCGTGAGGAAAATAATTGCCAAGAAAAGATGGAGTCCCAGGAGGACATAGTAGAGTTATCAAGTTCAGACGTTTTGCAACAATATTCAAAGGACGGTTACATTATGAACACATTTCCTAAGACCTTTGAGAGGAAGTTCTACTTCGTACCGTACAGGTAGAAACCTACGTTTCTAGGGTAACGATTGCATTGTTATCGTAAGGCACACGTTAATAGCCATGACTTTCGTATTCACTGTACAAAAATTATGCTATGATAGCAGACCATATAATTTTAACATGATGTCCCAATAAATTCGGGTAGCATTTTCATTGAGTCGAATATAGCGAACAAGTCTTTTCACATGTCATACCACAGTCAAAGACGCCAGTATGTGTAGGTGCTCCCAATACCCAATTATTACAGCATAAAAATGGCAGTTATTTTTGCGAGTTGGTCAATATTATTTGACATTCGAATAATGTGTCAACCTATCAGCTACTTTTAGTAACAATACTCTGGCAGAGTTTCTCGCACACATTCGAGTGAGATGCTATTTTATGAACCATTCATTTTGGGCTCGCCCAGTCTCAGACTGCACAAAACACGAAATCTCTTCTTTTTATGTAGTACAAGTTAATTGATTAAGGAAATTGTGACAACATGAGAGACTTTTTGGTTGTATATGCTGCATCTACCACCGAGACAAAAGATTACGTAGAGCATCACGTGACACTCCATTCTATGTGTAGAGTGCTTCGAGCTGTCGAATTACGCAATGACTTCATTCAATATTTCTAAGTGGTGTTACCTGAATAAATTGTCAAGGAGTGTTAAGAAAAGGTGCAAAGTACTCAAGTATTCAAATAGAAAGGGTAGCAGAAAATAATACTGGCTCCATTCCATGACCTTTTGCAGCTCACCACGCTCATTTGTCGTGACATTTCTTACCTAATTATTAATTACTGTAGACGACCACTGAAATAATGAAGCAGAATGGCTAGTCTGGGCCCCACCCAAACCAATTCTAGCGCCTTATGCGACGGAATATGGCTATAGCGTTACTATTCTTGTAACTTTTAATTATCAGACAGACGCATAGAGTATAACAACATCATATATAGTCTATTTCTGGATAGATATTCAGCATACCGTATGTGTGGGAGCAACCACAGTTATACAAGATTTAATCGTTACCAGGTTCCACGTGACTGTCTTGCTTCTCATTTTTATCGACATAATCGCCATTTACTGTAGTCGACCACTGAAAAAATTGTATACGAGACAAATCTCTATGATTTACTGTGGTACGAGGAGGTTTTGCCCTGTATAAATTTTCTCACTACGTTCAAAGGTTCATACAGATTTTTTTTGTATCCATTTTTTCCGTTGATTATTATATAAGATATACGTTGTTGATTAATAAGCGTGATTGATCGGCAAGACGATCAGGAGACAGCTCGAAGAACACGTTAATTATTACTAAATCCACCGTTGCATCCCAGGTAACGATTGTCTAAACTTAGGTTATTACAAATAGAAGGTTATCCTGTTAACATATTATAACCTTATCCCGAATAAGAGAATAAGGGTATGAGAATAGTAAACTGTTGCATGAGTTTTTGTGTGGGTTCAAAACACAAGTGCGATCATCCGTGAAACGTATAAATATTTTTTTCACAACATGGAAAAGAGATAAGTTAGATGACAGCAGAGAAAAATATGAGTAGAGGAATAATGTGAATGGAATAACGTGGAAAGAACATGAGTAGCCAATCATGCAGTAGAGTTCGGACATGTAAACATCTAAGTGTACTTCGCCTATGAAGTGTAGAAATGGAATCCAGTTCATCGAAGATAAGCGTTAAAACATATATAGTGGTGAGCATATTTTTTCTCCCTTTGGGACTATGAACCTAGGTTCCTAGAACCTCCTGAGCGTGGTTGAGCGGCAAGACGATCATGTTCCACTGGAAAAAGAAAAGGGTAAAATACGTAAAAATGCGTTAAAAACAGTCTAAGAAGATATTTTCTACATTCACTATTCCAAATAATTTCCACCGTATTTTCATGAGCATGGGGTGTAGCTTTCCTCGTCCTGGTTTATTGATTTTCATCCTCTGCATCTTCATAGAGAAATCCCTTTGGAGTCTACCTAGGCGTAGTCAATGTCTGTATCAATTTGTCCACGTCATTCCCCATACCGCAGTCTATTTCCTATATTCACGATATCCATGGGATATGTCGTACTTATATCTTTTCTGCTGCAGATATGCAAAGTATCTGTTGTCCATTTACGTTCTTTCCTACAGTCCACACCCAGGAAATCTTTTGTACACACATATTCTTCGTAGATTCGAACCCACTATGTGATATAAAAACTGTTAACATTGTCAATGACCGAGATGAGAAATTGACACAAGAGACAGAATCTATTAACAGTACTTGCGAGTGCTAGCTCAGGAAATTTGCATGTCCTTCCTACATGGGTTCCTTCAGAATAGCGTTATTCTTCTTCATGTTTGACTATGCTTTAGCACCCTTCAGGTAAACTATCCACGTTATTCTCTGACCGTCTTACCCTAGTCTTTAGACCTTCCTTCGGAAGTGAACGTAGGTTCCTACCTAAAAGGTACGAAGTAGAACCTCCTCCTCCACTTCCACTATGAACCTAGGTTCCTAGGACCTCCTCTGTTAACAGCGCACCCTTTGGGTGGTTTTACTGGTTGAGCGACAAGACGGTCAATCATAACACCGAAGGTCTTATTTAGTTAGAGGTCTTAGGAGATATGCTCCTAATGGTTGAGCGGCAATCTGGTCAGTTCATAGGTTTACTAATTTCGGGAGTGTACTGTATAATTCGTGCGATAACTCGTAATAGGATTTCGATATACAGTACATAGGAATAAACATGACTAATCGATTAGATGTGGAGTGGACGTACCAAGGTTACCATTTCGTATTCAAGAAATGTCTGTAGGGTTTGTTGTACTATTTATATGTTTCGTTTACACACAACATTATCCACAGTGAAATAGAAGGTGATGCATTTTGTACTTCCTGTACACAGCGCACTTATGTTGTTCAACTATGCTGCACATTAACATTTCGAAAATAATATTATAATATCATCATCTCTCCAGATGGTTTTATGGCCGACAGTTACTGATATTCTTGTCTACGCTTATTTCAATCAATATATTTAAGAGCCTGTTCCCACAAATTTCCCTGAAAGGCGCTAAAGCGTGGTAACGATAGTCACCTTTTTTGTAGCAACTGCGTACATGTTTCTAATGTTTTACATCCCTCGAAGAGGTGGTAGCAATGTTCACATATTTTTGCGGCATGTTCATGTTTCTCACGATATAGAATTCGTTCGTTAATAACAATATTTGCTACAATTCCTGGAAGATATTTTTGCGTATATATTTCGGTAAGATTTTTTGTAACTATGAGTGAGTATAACACACTAGAACAGCTGGTTAAAGCTGCGAAGGAAATCTCGCAATATAACTACCCGGTCATATAGTAACCATTTGTATCACAGGTTGTATACCACGGTCAATAAGCGAATTGTTCATTGACAAAAAAAAATCCCTCCTCTGTTACTCGCAAAAATACTTAGGTATGGCTCGCACTATTTTCATTATTATAATATTCAACGTACACGAAGCTTCGTAGCAAGGCGCCTTTGCTATAAAGCCTACTATAACTTGGCTAAAACTGCACTGTAAGTGACCGGTATAACAGCAATAGGATTAACTAAATTATGGGATCTTCGGCAACAAACATATTACTAAAAATTGTATAGCTAAAATGTTCAACTAAAAATGTACTACTAAAATTGTTCGACTAAAAATGTTCAACTAAGATTTTTACCAACTAAATTTTACCAACTAGTCCCGTATGCTCGATTTCTTGAAATTGGCCGATCCTTACAGTGATAACTAGTAAGATATGCCCATCTACCTTAACCAGTTAGACTGCCTCGCTTCTCTTTACGTAGTAGCTCCACTAGAGTAGCTCCGCTAGAGTTCCTTCGGAATGGTGCATTTTCAGGGAATTTTTGTGTTATGTGTTTTTCAAGTAGGTCGTATATGCCGAGTAATATATGTATCACATGCTCCACCCTCGCCAACCACTGTAATACGAACGTTGTTATAACGGACATATATGACATCGTTACCAGAAAAATTCACTTGCGATGTAACGATGCAAAGAGATATGTTGGCTCAACTCGCACTCTGTCTCAGCGTCGATTGCTGCAACAAAAGAAATGT